AGCACTTTTAATATTCCTTTTTGATTTTAACACTTGCCACGTATAGATCCTTCCACCTTTTTAGCTTTTGTGTCAGCAAGCCTTCTTGGCACTGAGCAGAGCATTTCACTGAGCTGTATGTATATAACTATATAATGCTCAGATTCCCTTTCTGAGAGCATATTATTACTTTGGAATCACATAAGGTAGTAGTTTACATGCTTTTCATCAGTTTCCATTGATTTGCATTTGCCTACACTGCATGTCACTTGCCATCAAGTTGTGAACTTGATCTAGTTGGTGTGGGTCACTGGAATTCCCTGCACTTCTCTTTTGTTTCTGCAGTAATTTTTGCTGTCCTAAGATGTTTGCCTCACTGCTTGTTCTTTTCAGTGTCATTAATTTTCATATGAAAACCTTATTCTTAAACTTCTGCAGCACTGAGAGTCAACTGTTTAATCCTGTTCTTGCTTTCTGTCTAGGCTAGTAATTTTTCATCCAAAATAATATTTGGTTTGATATCTGTGAGTTGTGTGGTTTCTTCAGTAGCCTGGCTTTGGAACGTCTAAATAAAGCATGCAACTGTTTTCTGTACTCACTGCTCAAGTGGTATGTTCAAAGCATTCCAGGAGATTAGGACTATGCAGTTCTAGTATCTATTAGTAGTGTCTAATTCCAGATTAGTAGTATCTAATTCCAGGAGATTAATAACATCTGGAGAAGCCATGCCAGTTTCAAGCTTAAAGAAAAACTGTACTCGCTGTTTTTAACCAAACTTCCCTGTACTGATAGAGAAGTTACAAATCTGAAAACACGTACATCACATTTACAGCTTTTAAAATATAGAAAGGCACTATTCACTGCTCAGCTGTTTCAGAAGCAAGCACAGAATCATGGAATAGCTTGGGTTGGAACAGACCTTAGATACTATCTAGTCCACCCCCCTGCTAAAGGCAGGGCTGCCCCTCACCAGATGAGGCTGCTCAGGGCCCCGTTCAACCTGGCCTCAAATGCCTGCAGGGATGAGGCACCCACAGCTTCTTTGGCAGCCTCTGCCAGCACCTCACTGCCCTCTGAGGGAAAATGTTCTCCCTAACATCTAAATCTCCCCTCTTTTAGCTTAAAGCTATTCCCCCTTGTCCTATCAGATCGTGTAAAAAGTCAGTATCCCTTCTGATTATAAGCTTCCTTTTAAGTACTGGAAGGCCTCAATAAGATCTTCGCAGAGCTTTCTCTTCTCTAAGCTGAACAAACCCACCTGCCTGAGCCTTTCTTAATACCAGTCCTCTGATCACACTCATGGCCTCCTCTGGACCCTCTTCAACAGCTCTGCAATTCTTCTTGTGCTGGGGGTGCCAGGCCTCGACACAGTACTCCAGATAGGGCCTCATGAGGCTAGAGTAGAGGAGAACAATCCCCTCCCTCTCTCTTCTGGCCATCTCTCTGTTGATGCAGCCCAGGATACTGCTGGCCTTCTGTGCTGCAGGTGCACACTGCTGGCTCTTGTTCCACTTTTCGTTCACCAGGAACCCCAAATCCTTCTCCACAGGGCTGCTCTCAATGAGTTCTTCTCCCACTGTGTACTCGTATCTGGGATTGCCCTGACCCAAGTGCAACACTGTGTACTTTGGCCTTATTGACTCTCAGTTGGTTCTTGTGGGCCCACTTCTCAAGTGTATGTAGGTTCCTTTGGATGGCACCCCTTCCTTCTGTCATATTAACTGCAACATTCATCTTGTTGTTGTCTGCAAACTTGCTGAGGATGCATCGATCCCATTGTATTAGTATCATTAGTAAAGATATGGAAAAGCACTGTTCCCAAAACAGGACCCTTGGGGGACACTAATTGTTACTGGCCTCTACCCTGGACATAGAGCCATTGACCGTAACCCTCTGGCTGTGGCCATCTTACCAATCCTTTATCCACTGAATATTCCACCCTTCAAATCTGTATTTCTCCCATTTAGAGATAAGGATGTGGTGTAGGAGCATGTCAAAGATGCTGCACAAGTCCATCTATATGACATCAGTTGCCCTTCCTTTGTCCACTGATACTCCATTGTAGAAGGCCACAAGGTTGGTCAGGCACAATCTGCCCTTTGTGAAGCCATGCTGACTTCCAGTGAAGACTGAGGCAAATAACTCATAAAGTATGTCAGCCTTCTGCATGTGACATCTGTTGTAGTGTGTTCTCCCTTCTCATTTACCAGATGGAGGTACCTATACAATCTCTTCTTGTTACATTTCACATCCCTCGCCAAGTCCTGTTTCATGTGTGGCTTGGGGCTTTCCTGATCTCATTTCTGCATTATTCCTCAGCCTCAAATCCCTGCTTTTGCTGCCAGTACATGCCCCTTTTTTCCCTCAGTTTAACCAACAGGTCCTTGCTCAGCCATGCCAGTTTCCTGCCTCTTCTGCTTGTTTTCCTCTACTGGGGGACAGAGAACTCTTGTGTTCTCAGTAAAGTGTCCTTGAAGAGCAGCCAGCTCTGCTCCCTTGTCCATAAGGACAGCTTCCCAGGGAATCCTGTCCAGCAATTTCTTAAACAGCTGGAATTTTGCTCTCCTGAAGTTCAGGTTCCTGACTTTGCTTTTTGCTAGGCCTATATTCCTTGAGATCACAAACTCAACCAGGCCATGATCTCTGCTTCCAATATTAACCTTTTTTATGATCTCCTCTGTGTTGGTCGGCACCAGGTCCATTAATGCTTCATCTCTGGTTGGTTTATCTACTACCTGGACCAGGAGGTTATCCTCAGTGCACTCCTGGAGTCTCCTGGATTTCCTGCAGCATGCCATGCTGCTTTCCCAATGTTTCTTTTTAGTGAGAGGCTGCATGTTGGCAGCAAATAAGCTACGTCATGCCTACACCCCTAGGTTTTTATCATCTCATACTTCCATTGTCAGTGCAGTTATTTGCTTTATTGGAGATTGTAAGACAGGTGACCTCGATTTAAGAACTGCTGTAGATAAACCTGAATTAGTGAATCATTGGAGCTAGTGGCAGGGTTTTTGTTACATTAGATGGCAGTACTGGTAAAGGCCGGGTTGGATGGGGCCCTGGGCAATCTGCTCTAGTACTTAATCTAGTGACTGGCAATCCTGCCTGTGGCAGAGGGGTTGGAACTTGATGATCCTAGAGGTCCCTTCCAACCCAAGCCATTCTATGATGCTATGATCTTAACTTGGCACTAACTTTGTTTTGGAAATCTACCCTCAGAAAAAAGCTTGTGCTCTGTCACTTATGAATCATTCTGATGTTCTCATTATCAAGGTTTTAAAGCTTTGAAGTAGAATAACGTGCAAGTCCAATGGTAAATGCGTTATGGTGTTGATTGGAACAGGGAGGAGTCACCCTTCTCTCAAAATTCTATTTTGATTTAAATGACAACAACAAAAAATTGGCTGAATTTTGAAGGAATCATAGAATCATAGAATGGCCTGGGTTGAAAAAGACCATAATATTTACTTTCTAGTTTCAACCCTCCTGCTATGTGCAGTCGCCAACCACCAGACCAGAGCCACATCCAGCCTGGCCTTGAATGCCTCCAGGGATGGGGCATCCACAGCCTCCTTGGGCAACCTGTTCCAGTGCATCACCCTCTGAGTGAAAAGCTTCCCCCTAATATCTAACCTAAACCTCCCCTGTCTCAGTTTAAGACCATTTCCCCTTGTCCTATCACTATCCACCCTCGTGAACAGCTGCTCCCTCTCCTATTTATTCCTTCAAGTATTGGAAGGCCACAATGAGGTCTCACCAGAGCCTTCTCTTCTGCAAGCAAAACCATCCCAGTTCCCTCAACCTTTCCTCATAGGAGAGGTGCTCCAGCCCTCTGATCATCTTAGTGGCTCTCCTGTGGACCTGCTCCAAGAGCTCCACATCCTTCCTGTGCTGGGGCCCCAGGCCTGGATGCAGTACTCCAGATGGGGCCTCACAAGAGCTGAGCAGAGGGGGACGATCACCTCCCTCTCCCTGCTGGCCACTCTTAGTCCTAAATTATCTTGCATTGGACTTCCATTGTATAGCTGAAAACAGCAGAAATGCAATAGGCAGCAAGAGTAACTATTCATAGAAAGAAGCAGTTTGCTCTTGTGCCTTACTTTCTGTATGAGCACAACAGTTTGCCAACAAAAAGCATGCTGCTTTGCTTTTAAGTGAAGCAATTGTGACAACCTGGCTACTGCATTAGAGTCTGCCAGTAAAACTTCAAGCCTTGAAACCTGGGAAGTGAAAACATAAATTGGAGGCTACCATCAGTAGTAACGAAAGAACAAAGACATTTTATTCTTATCTTGAATTATGTTCAAATTAATATATGAGAAATGGGATTTACTGCTGTGGCACAATAAATCTACTCATCACCAAGTCACTATTGCATGTAATCTATCTAATTCTGTTATACAAAGCCTGTAATAGAAGCAATAATTGTAACTCAGAAATAGTTAACGATAATTTTTCTTGGAGATAAGAAAAATTGGTATAATATCTACTTTGGAACTTGCTCATTCAGCTAGTTAATTTATTAAAGTGTTTGTCCATCCAAGGCTAAATTGGTTGAAAAGAAATAATATTCCTTGATATTTATAATGGATATACCTTAAAAGAATTGTAGAAATAATTTGTAAATGTTCTTTGAACATAACAAATTGATTCATTAACTGAGAATGATTCAGTTAACATTTTTATATGCAGTTTTTAGTATAAATTATCCGTGTCTTAGGAATCATTTCTTCTGAGTGAACATTCAGATCTAAGAGTGGGTTGAAAATCCTCTATTTATGTCAGTGTGTCATAGAAATACTGATTTTCTCCCCAGAAAAGCTGAAGTTACCTGGTATGTGCAGGGCCATAAGATCAGGCACAGTTATGTATCAGTTGACCTGTGTTGAGGTAAGATTAGAAATAGGAAACACTAACCAGATTTTCAGGTGTTAAATAGGATATCCAGGGGCTATTTCCAGACCAATTTCAGGATGCAAAATTTAAGTTAGTCTGTTTTATATTTTGAAATATATTAAATTCTTATATGCCATTTCCTTTAGATCTCTGGGATTTGGATGGAGGATAAGTCTAGTGTCTGTTTTTTAAGAAGCTGAATGCATAACACAGACCTGTTAGTGGGCAGTGAGTTTTACTTCAGGAGCAATGCAGGGGAAAGTTTTTGTTTCTGCATTTTGTCTGCTGCTAGTTGTGTGCTGTATGGTCTTAAGACAGTGGATTACAGGTGAGAAAAGGACATTAGATGATCTGAAGCAGTGGTCAGATCCCAAGAGAAATTGCTTCTAGTGATGTCTCAGATAGAAAAGATCCCTGAGTAAGGTTTCAATAATTAAAAAAAATAAATTCAAAATTCAGAACTTTCAGTGAAGTCTTCCAAACTGCCATTTTTAAAGCACTTGTGTTGACTCTTAAAAGCTGTTTTACTTACGTTGGTAAGGCACTGAGGGGCACATCTGGAAAGGAATTAATTTGAATCACTTTCCTAAATCTTACAGGAGTTGGATGGTTAGATATCTCAACAGACTTTGTCTTGAAGCACTATCGTAAGAATGATAGACAAGAAGGCAACAGAAAAAATGTTTAGTGCGTTGTTTAGATAATGTATGATTAACGGATGCTGTGTATTAAGCTAAAGGACACATTTGATTAATGATCTGTTTGCTTAGTATGCAATTTCAGAATAAGAGACTTCATCATAAAATAGAAACAGGGAGCACAAGAGATTGACTTGAAGTGGAATAGGTTGTCCTAGCACGTATCCACTTTGCTTTCTAACTGTAGTCTTTGAATGAAATTTTAAATGCAGTTTCTCTGTGGATAATATGTCTGACACTGTAGATATTCAGAAACCCCAGTGACAAAAAATATAGTGTCACGTAAACCTTTTTGTTGGCCATGATGGATTTTCTTTGTTGCGCAGCTTTTTCATTGTTACACTTTCATGAGCACTTCTTCTGTCTGGTAGAAATAAATCTGGGAATGGCTCTCATACTGTGTGTGTAGATATTGCTGTCTATGAAAATGGTTAAATTAGCTTTTTACTGCCCTCTTGTTGTAGTCAGTCACTGGTTTTAAGAACTGTTACATTGCTTTTGGTGCCTTCATTAAATGCATTTTTTTCCCCTGTGTTTCAGCTGTCAATTAGATGTTGATATGTAAAGCAAAATGGCAAAAATCAACACCCAGCACTCCTACCCTGGCATGCATGGACTGTCTGTCAGAACTACTGATGAAGATATTGAAAGGATTGAAAATGGCTTTATCAGGTAATACGTTTGTTCCATCACAATCAGATACCCACAGAATTTGAGGCAGTTCTCTGTATCTGTATTTTGGAAGCGACCACATCTCCATTGACCCTTTGTATTTAAATGACCTAGTGGTGTATTTTCAAAGTACAGAATAGACAGCAATGGGAAGGTTATCATGGTTTGCAGTTTTGGATCCAGAACCTGTATCACCTGAGGAATTAAACACATTTTCCCATTGACGGGAATTACACCATCTCTATAAGGATAAGCATCTTTCTTGAATCAGCTTGCAAGAACCTGCACTTGGAGTGTGTATGGGATGAGGAGAAAAAAGGATCTTGCCAGTACTATGCAGTTAAAAGCCCTTAGGAAAGTTTTAAAAAGCAATCTCTTCAGTCTGTTTGGCTCCAGTGTTAAGAAACATGTGTAGCATATAAAGCATACCAGCATTTTTTTACTGGCTTTTCAGAGCTTCACACTGTGCAGTTGAACTGTACTTGTTTCCTTACATTCACTTTTCTCTGTTTCAGTGGTTTTTTAAGTGGCTGCATAAAATATGCCTGTGCACTGTACACTTATATTTTATGCAGTCCCAGTCATTTCTTTGATCTGGGCAAATGCTACTGCAAGAAAGTTTCTGATGATGCACAGCACCAGTGCAGGCTGGAAAAAGTTGTCTGCTTTTGGCTTCTTGTGGTCAACTGCCTCAACTGTGGGGATTTTGTCAGACAGATTCTTGTTGACCAAATATTTAAAAGCCTGTTAGGACTGCTTGTATTATGATAATTTTGGATCATGTGCCCCTAGCGTGTAGTGTGGATGTGATCCTTGTCCTCTTCACATTATTTTTTTTTTCCATTTCTGCTTTGCTTATGTGATACCCTCTGGCATGTAGGTGTACCTACACTGGTGAAAATGGAACTGTTTTGATTCTCTGCAGTATGGCTTCCTTGATTTAGTTAATATTACTTCATGTTCTTCTTCGAGAGATTGGAAGCATCATGTCTCTTTGTCTTCATTTACAACCATACCTCAGAAACAGGGAAAACACACATTGCATTGAGCCTTCATTTTATGCTCCTTTTTTTGTAGAAAATATCAGTGATTAGCAGCTTAGAACTCACTAGTAGAAGTGAGAAAGCGTAGTTATAAAGGTTTGAATGTAGAATTAAATGGCTGCAGTCATCTGCAGCTTCAGAGACAATGGCTTAAAAATAAAAGGGCAAAAGTATGAATTACACTTTATGATGATAAGAGTCTTGATGGACCATTTATTTAAAAAGAAGTTCATTGTAGTCAGCATTAATTACGGGATTTCATAGATGAGTAAAACAAAATTACAGGGTCGCTCTATAAAAGAGATCTCACATTTAAGTTTTTTCTATTGCTGAAGTGATTGCCAAAAAATGGTTATATAATACTTTTGTAATACAGCTAAAAAAACTGTATGTATACGGGCAAAACTCAATATGCTTGTGTTCATTAGGACACAAATGCATTTTAGACCACTGCATCCAGAAGAGTATGATTATTATTTAAAGGAAGACAATTTTTAATTTTTTTTATAAGACAGAAACCTTCCATTCTTTTTCTTTTGGCAGAAGTTAATCCTTTTTTCCATGAAAAGACAATGGGAATTAAGGTGAGGGGAGCTAATAAAATATATTTCATGCATTATCTATCACGAACATCACAGATTGTTTCTCTTTCCAGTCCTGAACTTAAAACCTCAATCCCTGTCAGCAGAAACTGCCACTTTCAGATCTTCATGTTGAAGACAGTTGTGGGGCATTGGTCTTTAGCTTCATGCAAGAAAAAATTCTGATATACATTTTTAAAATTCAGATAAGTAAAAATTAAAACTGTAGACACAGGGGAAAACAAACAAACAATCCAGCCAACCATAGGTTTTCTAGACTAGTGACACTGCTCCTTATCTTCCTTTAAGTCCTGTTGGCTGTAGTTCAAGAAAACAATTAAGCACATTACTTAGTTCCCATTACAGTCAGTGGGTGTTAATTTTATGCTTAATGCTAAGATGTGCTTAAGTGCTTTTCTGTAGTGGAATGTGGTATTATCAAAGAAAAGCACTCACTGAAACAATTAACAGAAAGCTGGTGGTGGTCTTCAAACTGTAATTTGCTTATCTGGCAGATGAAGTAGCTAAGCTACTATCCATCGTATTTGAGATGCTGTGACAGTCTGATGAAGTTATCACTGTCTGGAAAAGGGGAAGCATAACCCTCATTTTTAAACAAGGAGAAAAAGGAAGATCTAGGGAACTACAGGCCAGTCTTCTTGCCTCTGCCCAACAAGATAATGGAGCTGATCCTTGTAGAGACTGTGCTAAGGAACGTGGAAGACAAAGAGGTGATTGGTGGCAGACAGTATGGCTCCACTAAGGGCAAATTCTGCCTTCCAAATGTAGTGGCTTTCTGTGATGAGGTTACAGCATTGGTGGGTAAGGGAAGAGCAACTGACACATCAACACTTCTGCATACCTTGGTGTCATCTGCTAATGTACTAAATGTGCACTCAATCCCTTCATCAAACTTGTTGATATATCATGTTAAACAAAACTAGCCCCAGTACTGAGCCCTGGAGAACACCATTTGTGGATTTAACTGACTCATAATGACCTTTTGGGCCAGATCATCCAGCCAGTTTTTAGTCCAGTGAACCATATATTTCTCCAAGCCGTGAGCAGCCAGTTTCCCCAGGAGAAAGTTGTGGGAAACAGTATCCCATGAGGATCATCGAATCCAACTCCTGACTCCCCACAGCACCATCCCAAATTCAAACCCTCTGAGAGTGGTGTCTAAATGCTTCTTGAACTCCAATAGGTTCAGTGCCTTGACCCCATGGGAGCCTGTTCCAGGGCCTGACCACACTTTGGTGAAGAACCCCCAAATCCCTTTCTGCAGGTCTGCTGTCCAGCTCTCATCCCCCAGTCTGAATTTATACCCAGGGTTTCAACTTAAGCTGAGGAGGCACAGTTGTTTAGTGTTCCTGCTTTGTAACCTGCTCTCTATTTCTTAACATTGTGTAGTCTCTTGTCATGGTGGTTTCAAACTATGTAACTTAATGGGACAATAATGGCAGTCCTTTCTGTTTTGCTGCAGATACCAGCCAAAACTCATGGAGTCTGGGATGGGAATGAGTTTGTGTTCATAAAAATAAAGTCAGAATTAGGCCACGTGCACTGAAGGTGCTACTTCAGAAGCCCAGTTTTTAACCTTCCTCTGCATTGATAGAAAGTCAGCTTACAAATGAGTTCTCTTGTGTTATGTGAACATGGTTGAGAAAAATCAGAAATGAGCCTGTGAGTTTTATAAGGAGTTACAATAATGGAAGAAAGAAAGCATTTTAGATTTACTTTTCAGTTTTGCTTGTGTGAATTAAAGTGGAATGTGTTTATAATTGCTGTATAATTTTGGACAGATGCTTCCACAGGAGTTGCCTGGTAGAGTACTTTGAGTATTAATGTAAAGGTGAGATGCAAGCCCTTTGGTGCTGATTCTGCGAACTTCTTTTGATTTTCTTGAGTTGTCTGTACATGTTGTAACTTTTTTTGTAAAGTAAACCTGAATTTACTAAAAGCAGTTAAGCTGCTGCAACTTAAATACTCCTCTTTTTTCTTCAAACCTGAGTTCTGTTAATTAAAATAATTTTCTAAGAATTCTTTCCACCTCCTTTGAAAATGTCTTTTCAGGACTCAAAAATGATGGTGATTAGTAAGTAAGAACAATAGCAACATTAGGACCCACGCTGTCTAAGAACAAGCAAGATATATATTTTCCTGTAAGGAGGAATACAAGGTAGTAAAAACAGGCATAGCAGTGCAGTCTAAAGGATGCTGTCAACCTACCATCCTTTCCCCAGCAGGAGTGCAGGCAGATGCTTCAGCAAAAGAAATGGAGTGGGGATAAAGGAGCAAACTGCAAGTATCTATGCTTGCCTTAGTCCTAGCATCCAGCTCAGCAGAATTCCTAAGCTGGGTGTAGGCTCTGTGTATCCAGTAGCCTATAATGGGTTTCTGTCCCATGAGTTTGTTCTTTGTCCCCTAGGAGCTGGGTTGACCTTGGCAACCCCAACAGTCACAGCACCCACAACGTTAACTGGGTTGTAAAAACTTCTTCAATTCTAACCTGTATCTCTTGACGTCTTATTAGAAGAGGAGGATAAAACAATTAAGAAACTGTGAATCTCAGGAGTCACTATGTTTTGTAGTGTGGAGGTATAATAAAGTTTTAATTCTTTGTCTGCCAGCTTCCCTGCTGTGAGTACAGACAAAATTAAGCTGCTAATTATCCTGTTGTGACACTCAAAATGCTGCTGCCTGTTCTTATGTAGTGTAAGTATCATCATATTCAGTGTTTTCGTGGCAGTGTGAATTAACAGAGTCATGTAAGAGATTGTTTGCATTATGAGGGGAGAAAAACGTGATCCTTGACGTGATGAAATCTTGTAAAGAGTGAAAAACACAGAGAAAGCCTCAGGAGTCATAAAAAAAATCCACAGTGAGCTTTGATAAAGTCCTGGTTCCATTGAAGTCAGTTCCAAAACTCCATTACAGAAAGATAAGGCCAAAGCTTCATCTATTATTTTTCAGTGCTAATTATTTCTGTGCTAATAAGCAGTCTTACGGGAACTCATGTGAGCTGGCAGACACTGCATGTAACTTAACATTATAATGCAGCTGCATGCAGCTGAGATTCTGCAGTTTTCTGTGTGTCAGTAACCTCAGTCTCCTCATCTCATCACCACCAGAGTAGCTCTGAACATCTGTAAGCCTATTTTGCCATGCAGCAGCCTGAGTTTCACTTACGGAGCGAGTAAGAACAGCTGTGATGCTATTCAGTGTTATCTACTGTAAAATCAGTGTTTTTCCCTTTCAGTCTAGACAGTCTGAAAGGAGCAAAAGGAAAAAGAGTTATTTGAGTCATAAAATGGAACCACATTGGTAGAAATATCAGGTTGTTAAACCCAAACAAGGTCTGGGAGACCCATACTGAAAAAAACAGTGGGCAGTCACTTTGAAGCCCCTTGGAGGCATAGAACTTTCCTCCCTGCTGAAGGAAAGCTGCTGATGCAGTGCAGGAGGTCTTAGACTAGCAAATATGCCCAAGGAGGTTGTGGATGCCCCATCCCTGAGGCATTGAAGGGCAGGCTGGATGCGGCTCTGGGCAGCCTGGTCTGGTGGTTGGCGACCCTGCACATAGCAGGGGGGTTGAAACTGGATGATCATTGTGGTCCTTTTCAACCCAGGCCATTCTATGATTCTATGATTCTATGAAGTGTTCTTCTTTAATTGTGTATCTGCACACCAGGGTGGTAATTGACAAGTAAGAAATCAGCTTCTGACCTTGCTGGGACGGATGGCAGAGCCTTGTCTGCCTTCATTCATGTTGGATGGCTCCAGAAAAGTGGGAATATAGGTTTCACTTTACATTTCTCAAATGTATGTCTTTTTAGTAGAAAGAAGATAATTTGCAATATTGTTTTCTGGTGCAGTGGTGTTAATAATTGGATGGGGGAAAATCTGCTGGAGGCTGTATATAATCTAAAAACCATTTCCTTTTGCAGAACCCATTCACTGTGTGAGGATACATCTTCAGAACTGCAGAGAGTCATTTCTATGGAGGGAAGACATCCATCTGGATCACAAACGAGCCCATTCACAGGCAGGGGAGCAATGGCAAGGTAACAGGCTAATTAACACCATTTTCAGTATTAGCATATTTGAAAGAGACTGATCACTATTTCAAGGTAAAGTAAGAAGAGCCATCACTTTCCAAAGAAGATGGATGGAGTGCAGCTAAAGATCATGTATATATAGAATGTGACAGAGGCTTCTTTTGACCTTGATTCTGAACTCATTGCTTACTTGTTTGTAATAAAAGCCTTGGAATACTAAAGGTGCTGGATGAGCTCATACAGATTAGTCTGATTAAAGAAAAAGTTTTATTTTTTTACAAGATCTGATTTGAAAAATATTGAATGTTGAGCAAATGCAAGAAGTGACAGCAGGAATGACTCAAGATTGTAGAGTAAATGGATAAGTGGTTCTGGCTGGTAGCTGATGCAATATTATTTTCCTATCATGTATGGCCTAACAATTGTTCCCTTGTTGATGGGTATCTCTGGCAAAGGAGGAGATGGGGTGTTTGTGTTGTGAATGCAAGAATTTCTGTTTCTAGAATCCAGTTTTGTTTGTAATGAAATAGGAGCACAAGGCAGCAAATTTCAAGTCAAACCATTTGCTCAAGTCATTTACTTTACGTAGACTTAAAACACAAAACTGAAACAGAGCTTCAAAAACTTTTTGTGTCGACTTTAAAGATTTCCAATTGAGACTACAGAACACTCTTCTCCTGATGCCATGATGATACACACTACAGAGCATGCTGAGTTTAAGCATAGTGTATTTCAAAGAAAAATATTGCTTTAAAACTAGGGTCATTTAAAGAGTTTACATTTCAGGCTTTTGAGTGGTAGAGAACAAACTTGTATTGCCTTATTTGGTTGTCAGGTGATGACACCACTGTGTGTATATGACAAAGTCTGCAAGAAGTTGGTTTTAGGTGGAAAACATGTTTTTCGGTGTATGTTGAAATCATCTACATGTGTATATCAATACTGAAAGCTTCTTAATGTTAGTTTATATTATTCTATACCCTTTTTCAGAATACTTTGAGTTACATGCCTGTATAACTTCAATTTCTTACTCTCTGAATCTGCAAGGAAACCTTTGATACAAACGTGAATGCTCAGCAGTTTAAATAAAGTATAGTAATATAGCATGCCTCTTAAATGCAGATTCTCAAAGACCTAAGATAACAGTCTCTACTGGACTTCACTGAGAGTATCTTACTTTGAGGTGGAAAGGACAAAAAAAGTGAAAATAAAACAGTGTGGCAGAAATAAGAAAAGGCTATTTCTTTCTTCAAATAGAGTTCTCAATCTTATTTTGTAGAACCTGTTTGGCTTCTTAACTAACAGTTCTCAAAATGCCTTGTTTTCTAATATAAGTAAGAGCATCCATGTGAGTGGTTTTTCATACCACTTCTTATGTGAAAGCTGAGTTCTGCTCAGATAAAGAGGAAAAAATCACAGTTTAATTTTATGCAATGCTTTCTAAATGAGTTAGGAATCTATTAATTGATCTCAGACTTTGATGTGGAGCTTTGTTTTAATTTTGCATTCCTGGTAGATTTTGAATTCTCTTAGTTGTTGGACATTGGTGATGATTTATATGATGCTTTGTTGGTGTAAGAATAAAGAGCTAAAAATGTCTTTCTCTAATTTCTGACATGTGGTATTATTCCTGCTTTATTTGTCCTTTTATTTCAAGGTAAGAAATCCTAGGTAAGATCTATGAGATGGTATAGTTAGGCCCTGGAGAAGTGCAGTAAGACAGGTGTACTTTATCATAAGATTGTAATATTATCCAACATGAAGGGAATGTGAAGAGCTTTCCTTGAGTAGCCTAGAGCTCCTGTAAGAAGTTACAGGTTGTTCAGGATTTTATTATGGCATTTTCATGGACAAGATTGGAAAACCTGAAGTAACACTACTTTTGTCCAAATTGGCCTGCTAATGGGAAAGAACAAAGAATATTGTTTGGGGAGTAAATAAAAGCTTTTCTATATATTTCAGTGTCCGTTGTTTTCAGTTTTTCAGAAGCATGTTTTTGTTTGAACTTTGATAACATTACAAGAATTTGTAATGTGGTTTAGTCAATTAGTGGGAACATAAAATGAGTCATAACAATACAGTGGTAATTAGTTTTCTTGCCATGATGTTTTGCTTATCCGATTTCAGTGCTCTGCTTGAAATTTAGGATGAGGACATAGTGCTGTCTATGCAGTTGGCAGGTTTATGTGCAATGTGCAATTAATATATCTGCAGACTCTTTACAACCTAAGGGAAGGTGACCGAAATTTTACTGTACCTTCTTTCAAAGTCCATCCTTCTTCACCAACTATTCAGCATTTTTTTTCTACTGTGTGTACCCTGAGTATACGTTCTTGTGAGTATTTTATGTCTCCTGATCTGTCAGTCCAAGATCCTCTCATTATCACATAATGTCAGAAGTTTTTTGTCTCCATTGTGACCAGTTGGCAAATCCATCTTTAATCAGAGTTTTTCTGTTTCCTCTGCAGTGCTGGTACAGTGATGATGTGTGAGATACATTCCTGATCAACTGCAGAAGATGATGTATGAAATTGTGGAAAGTGTCTAAGTTCATACTGTTAATCGATCAGGCCTCATTTCTGTGGCAGGTGGAGAAGTGGAGAAAAATCCTCCTGAACTGATACTGTGGGGAAGACTTAATCCCTCTGACATTCTTGTGTGGTTCAGTCAATGTTGTGTGTCTGTTCTGCACAGGCTGTCACGATTTGTCGTATCTCTGAGGTCGTGGGCCACAAGACATCTACACCATGAAGACCAAAGGCCTGATTCTTTCCTAGAGCGTATCCGAGGGCCAGAGTTTGTAGAGGTGTCCAGCAGGCAAAGTAACATCCGCTCCTTCCTGGGCATCCGTGAACAGCCTGGGGAAGTAAACAGGTAAGTAGATGTACTTATATTTTAGGGGAAGACTGAATATGTAAATTACTGTTGTAAATTTAATGCCAGCCAAGAGAGGAAAATGAAGTCAAAAGTTTGCCTTCTGTTTGGAATTATGCTATGGAGCACAGACTCCTATGGCTTTTTACATAGGTAAAGATTGGTAGGCAAGCAAGTAATCACTTCATTTTTTTCAAGAGTTCAGCTAATAATAATTTATATTAAAGCAAGTACTTTAAAGGGCTCTGCATGGTAGTATAGATGACATTGATTTGTTGTCAGTGAGCACAGCCTCATCATCTTCATTTGATCTGCTCCTTAGAAATTCAACGTAAAAGCACATTTTGTTGAATTAGCCAGACTGCTGTCCTTTAATCGCTCAAATGAGCAGACAAGATTTTTTTTTCAGATGCCTGTATCAATAACAGTTGCAGGTTCCAAATCATTAGGGAGAACACTGATCTTGGGCCAACAAGCCTCTATAAAAGGAAGAATCCATCCTTGCCTTCTCCTGTTTACACTGTGGCTGTATGACATTAACTCTCAGTTGTTCTACTGTGGAAATTTAATTTTGCAGCACTGGTAGGTATGTTTGTCACAGAAGCTTTGGCTCTGCATTTGTGAAGAAGACTTGGAAGGACTGAAGAATATTTAAAATAGTAACTGAATGCTTACAGGGCTAAAAATAGTGAGTTGCATGTTACCATGCCTGAGAACAAGCTTCAGCTATCCGATGTGGTCACAAACGTGTATGTCCAGCACGTGATAAATAGAAACTGATGCCTTGAAATAGTTATGCAAAGGGGCTTAGCGCCGCAGTCAAAGTTGACCTTCCTAATCTTATCAGTGTATATGTGAGAGGCTAGTAAGTCAGGCTGTCATGTTGGTAAACACGTGTATGAAATGCCAAAAACCTTTACGCTCTTCAACGTGTTTTATTTCAATCGCTGCAGTCCGTGGCCCTTGGCCAGGTTTAATGTCAACTTTAGCAACAACACCAATGAAGAGTAAGTACTGATAACTTCCATGTGCCTTTCTGCTACTAGCTCCCTTTTTTTCCCCTGCCAGCCTAGTAACATTTGTGGTATGAACTCCTTATCTTTTCTTAAGCCCTTTCTAAGGCTTTAAACCTTTCTAAGGTTTTAATTATAAAGAAAGATCTAGTTTTCTCGGTATTAGAAGCATCCTTCATGATCCCTTTTGTCTGGTTACCCTTACTTTCCAAGGAATGAATCAGATTAATTAAGCATTTGGTCCCTACCTCCTTTTATTCAACTGGCTGATTTCACTGCATTAGCAATTGCTCTATTAATGCTTCAATTTTAAAATGAGATTAAGATACTCATTTTCTGATGGTCCTTTTCATCATACCCAATCTCCTTCCAGAAATCTTTAGTGCCCCCAAAATTTCAAGATGTCACATGAGAAGTGGATATGGAGCAGGGTACCAATAAACCTTTTCCATATGCATTCAAAATGAACACTAACCTTCTTTCTAAAATGTGTGTTTTAACTCAGCCTGATATGGTTGCTGTAGATGTAGAGAGTGTGATAGGCAACATAATAAGACTTCCATTGCAATGGAAGTTTTGACAGAAGCTGCTCTATTTTATTTATTTGATAAGGACATTTTACAGTTTCAGACCAAAGAGAAATCTCTTGAAAAGGTGAAGAATTCCTGTAATTTAAAATCACTCAACATTAATGCTTATTGCATGTATTAAACCATGGCTATTTGAAGACATACCTCCTCTGTAGCATCTAGCAGTAGATTTTTATGCTGTGGACTAGCAGCAAATTTCATTTAGAAGTGATGCTGTGAAAGTTTTGTGCACATATCTCAACATATCTTCCTGCTCCTGAAGCAGTGTTTTGGTTTGGCTCGCATAAATTTTGTTAAAGCTGAAATGGAAGTGCAGCAAACAGTGACAGAAATGTGCAGCTTTTTATTTAGACTGGGAAAATTAAAGGTGCTGGAAGCCTGGAGCCCACCACACTAGCCAGGGCCCAAAGGACTGATTAGAATGGAAATGCTGCTTAGCCTGTTTCTGACAATGAGTCATATAGCTCAGGCACAACTTACATCCTTCAGGTGTTGCATTATTGCTAAATGGAGACAACACCTGTCTGTCTACCTGCCTGACTGTCTGAAAATTACTTGATTTGCAAAGAAGTTGACAGTTGAGAAATGCAAATATTCTGCTCATTCAGAGACTGTGACAGGGTTTCTTTGGAGATAATGAAGACATTTTCTGAGTCTGAAGGTGCTCCTTTTAATGTGCTGGAGACACTGAATAGATGCCACTGTATTGCTGTCAATGATGACAGGCACGAACAACTGTTAACTGGATTACAGTTTACTCAGTTGTACTGATAAGGGAAAAAAGATGCAGGTCTTTCTGAAGTTGTGTTTTTTTCCTTGTGTGGAAGACCTATGAGTTCCTGCTGTTGGGGAACTGTAGGTAGTGCTTTCAAGACTTTGATTATGGCCAACTTTTTCTTCCTAGTGACTTTGACCACCAGACTACAGGTAGCTGGGATTATGATGTTAGGAGATACCTCAAGAGAGATGAACTGCAGCTATAGAAATGGAAGAGTCTCACTTCTACTGTTTCATTGACTCTGTGTCTCAGCCTACTTTTCCTTGTCTAATAGCCACAAATCTACAGTGATGGTGCCCTTTGGAAGTGGATTACTTTGTATCCATGTCTTCCTTTCCATTAAGAATGCCAGACACTTGAAGTTTCACCAGCAGTGTGATAACGCTAACAGCAGCAACTGTGCATTGGCTTTTCAGACACCAAGCATAGCAGTACACAGAGAAATCCTGACATGTTTCCTACACAGGAAGATGTTTTCAGGACAGATTTGAAAGAAACACAGTAGAAGTCCAAGGGGCCAATGGCAAAGAAATAAACCATTTGAGTAGCAGTTCCTGCTGCTGTGTAGAAGTCAGCCTTGATGAATGAAAAACTGTTTCTTTGAGTTGAGAAGCTTGTATGAATAATTTTCCAATTATGCCCCTTGTAGTGTATAATTTTAAAGGTTTCAATGGTGTTGATTAATTTGATAGGTACTTTCCTGACATAGAGGGTTTTTTTTTGAGCAAAATTAGTCTGAGATTTCCCAAATTATATTGTGATACTGTGTCTCTATGGAAATGCCTAAGGGTAAGAATTAGAGCATGTACACATTGCTGATAGGTAGAAGTTGTTCACAGACCTATTGTATTGGTAAGTGCTATCTTCCTCCAGTCACGAGTCATCTTGTCCTGTCATAGAGATCTAAAATAGCTCATATTAATTGTGTTGACAATAAAACATTTGCAAAATAACTTCCCAGTATGTAGATGTCAGAGATTAAGTGAAATGAGACATACCTTGTTTCTCTACATTTGCTGCTTTTGTTCAAACACTGACAGGGATTCTTCCCCAAGGCAATTGCTGAAAGGAGAGGTAATCAACTAATTACAACTTTGTTGGTTTTAAAGAACTGAGAGAAGAGGTTCAGCCTCATTTCATGTGATCACCAATAAAGTTTCAGATGGTCAATGTGAGGTTCTGTAGATGTCATGAATGTTGATAGTTTATTAAGCCATTTTGTGGTCCATTCTCATTAAATAGATTTCTTTTTAAGTGCTTAAATTCTAAAGATGGAACAAACTGGAAGCATTTAATTAAAACCAGCCTGGTACACTGCTGTATGAAAAGGCCAAGAAAACATGGATGACTAATGCACAGAATCAGCCAATTGGTTATGTAATGTAGTGGTGTTGGTTTGAGAAGCCTTGGCCTGCAAACCATTTATACCAGTTGGATAAATGGTACCATTGAGAAATCCTGTCCTACCCCATCCAGAATCCAGGTCAATAGTTCCCTGTACCTCACTATTCACCCTTTCCCCTAGCTGCTGTAGAATTGATAATATTTCTAAGGCTTCAATATGTTGCACAGCAAAAAGGAAGAAAAGAAAGAGGTTAAAGAGGAAAAGAAGGAGGAAAAGAAGGAGGAAAAGAAAGAGGAAAAGAAAGATGATAAAAAAGATGACAAAAAAGATGACAAAAAAAAGGAAGAGTAAGTATAACAAATATACTTGTAACACCTTTCCTGCACTCCAAAGCATGGTATGGTATTTAACTGGAAAACTCCTACTACAATTATTGATCTGTAGGCTTCAGAATGTTATGTCATCAAACCTTTAATATGTTTTCGCTTTTGAAAAGGTGCAACTGCTCAACAGACTTGTTGTGTCTTTAATATTGTTGTTTAGATCTTCATGAGCAGCTTCCCAGGACATTAAAAGGGAGTTCATCTACCTCTGGGCATTTGGTTTTATGTTCAAGATCACTTTATTCCTATTGGGGCATTTTAGGATAGCAGCACTCTTTGCTGCTATCCTAAATCTGAACTGGATTTTCATGGTTTCAGAATATCTGTAACGATTTAGAGCTCACACCAAAAATGTAGTTTGGATGAAGAACAAAAATTTTACATGTAGAGAACTACAGATTTGCTTAATAAGTTTAGTTACTATAATGACACTGACCAGCACAACTGATTACTTAAAACATGGCATAGTTCTTTACTAGTGATTACTGAAGTTTTCTCTTGCTGACTAGGAAGAGCTGTTGTATTTCTGCAACAAAATGAGACCATTTGCATGCTTTTTATATAAATAGTCCCTTGTTTTGTTCCCCAAAAGTCAACCTAAACTCAATATGATTTATATATTTATATATAATGTTGTGTACTGTCTCAGTATAGAGATGTGTAGGTAGGAATGGCTTGATCTCAGTACTTCAAGTTTCTTAACCAAAGCTTTGATTTGAAAGCCTGTGTTCAAATCTGTGTTCTTCAGCATCAGTTACTATACAAAGACAACCTGAGTTTACAGTACCGTAAAGTAGCTTCAAAGACAATAAATGTTTCAAATATCAAAGAGGTAATGCTCTCTATTGAATAAAGACCATATTTCTTGGTCACCAGTTTTGTGATGATGATCAGTTTTTTGAGAAGAAATGGCTCAGATGCTGCTGTGAAGATGGCAAAGGAAATACTTTTTAGATTAAAGCTGCTTTCTTTTTTTAACATGTAGGTAGATTTAATGCTTTACTTTGTCTTCGGTGGGGGTCATATGCAGAAAAGGTGTTATTTTCAGCCTCAGCAGGTTGAATAGCTCTGTTTTTCTTTCCAATCCCACTTATTTTTCCAAAGCTGTGTCAAGCAGGAATGGAGCATCTCAAATAGGATGAAGGTAGTATCTCATCTGGGGTCATGGCATAGGTACTTTCTCAAGCAGATGTGAGTTAACCATGAGACGAGTGGCCTCCAAAGGAGGGAATACCAGTAGGCTACTGTAAAATTTCCACTATAAATGTACATGTTTTGCTTTCCAGGCAGAAGAAAGAGGTCTTTGTGATTGATCCTTCAAGCAATATGTACTACAACTGGCTGACCATAATTGCAGCACCTGTGTTCTATAACTGGTGTATGCTTATATGCAGGTATGGATTTAAGTTAATAACAATTTTAGGATTCAGATTTAAAGTATCTATGTTTCCTGCATAAATCATCCTCTGATCTCCCTGTAGTTTTTTATGAATTGCTTACCTAGAATATTTACATATGTTTATAAGTACCACTGGGAAAAGATGGTCAATGCTTCTCCTTTATCTGCCTCGAAAACCCAACTGTAAGGTGCAAGGAGCATCCCCGTGAGTGCTGGCTGTGGCCTTGGTGTGCCACCTACTGGCTGAATGCAGAGATGTGCCTTGGCCACTGCAGGCTCAGCAACTTTGTAATCGCAGAATCACAGAGTCGTGGGGGTTGGAAGGGACTTCGGCAGATCATCTGGTCCAACCCTTACAAGAGCAAGTTCCCTACAGCAGGTTGAACAGGAAAGCATGCTGCGGGGTTTTGAATATCACCAGAGAAGAAGTCTCTACAACCTCTCTGGACAGCCTTTTCCAGTGCTCAGTCACCCTCACAGTAAAGAAGGTTTTCCTCGTGTTCATATTTCTGTGTTCCATTTCGTGCCTCTTGCCCCTTGTTCTGTTGCTGGGAGCCACCAAAAAGATCCTGGCTCCATCAATTTGACCCCCGCCCATTAGAAATTTATAAGCATTGATAGGATCCCACCTCAGCCTTTCCTTCTCCAGGCTGAACAGCCCCAGGTCTCAGCCTTTCTTCACAAAGGAGACACTCCAGGCCTCTCATCTTCTTTGCATCCCTCTGCTGGACTCTGTCTAGAAATTCTCTGTCTTTCTTGAACTGAGGAGCCCGGAATGGGACACAGTGCTCCAGATGTAGCCTCACCAGGGAAAAGGAGCAGGGAAGGATCACCTCCCCTGACCTACTGGCCACGCTCTTTTCAGTGCACCCCAGGATGCCATTGGCCTGCTTACCACGAGGGCACACTGCTGGCTCATGGCCAACTTATTGCCCACCAGGACACCCAGGTCCTTCTGTGCAGCTCCTTTCCAGCAGGTCATCCCCTAACCTGTATTGATGCATGCAGTTTTTCCTTCCTGGGTGCAGGGCTCTGCACTTGACTTTGTTAAACCTCATCAGGTTCCTCTCCTCCCATCTCCAGCCTGTCCAAGTCTTGTTGAATGGCAGCACAGACTTCAAGTGTGTCAGCCAATCCTCCTCCCAGTTTTGTATCATCAGCAAATCCTCCAATAGAGAACAGTGGGAAAGGCTGCAGGCAATGAGGGGTCATCTTAAATTAATGTGAGACATTTATGGATGCTTGAAGGATGGGAAGATGTTACTCAAGTATTTGTTTTCCTGTTTGGGATGTGGGAAACAACTTCAGTCAAACTAACGGAGTGTTATGGAAAAGGTTCACCTTGTGCCAGGGAGAGATGCAGATGGTTGGCCTCTCAGAAGCAAATATTTTAGTTGAGAATCACCTTAATGGTGATGTGTTGTGTATGGATGTGAGATGAGCATTCCTGGGGATCTTTCATGTAAAATCTGATGCACATTTAAATGTAGGGGCACTTGCATGCCCCTATCTGTGCATTCACGATTGTGAATTCTGCAAGATCCTAGTGTCTGTTTAGACACAGCTTCAGTCTGCAGATGTCTAGGCATGGAGATATGCTGCCCTTCATTTCATTGCCAGTCCACACTAGCACACTGTGGTTATATAGTTGGTCTAATGTTTTTTATTTCTATCTTTGTTTCTTTAGAGCCTGCTTTGATGAGCTACAGATTGACCATATTAAATTATGGCTGTTCCTGGACTATTGCTCTGATATCATCTATGTTTTTGACATGTTTGTCAGATTCAGGACAGGTGAGTTTTCTGGTGATTTTACAGAGTTTTCTGATACAACATGGATTTCAAAGCAAGAAACAAATCCACCAGTATAGTGCTCTGTCTCAAGCAGCAGCGGAGGCTTTGGGAAAATGCAGTGTCATGGCTTAAGGCTAGACTTACCAACACCTGCACTTCACTTGGCTCATCTTCAGCTTCCTCATCTTTCTGTAGTCTAGGCAGGCTGAGAAGATTTCATATTTAAGTGTGCCCAACAGATACTGATTCTAGCCTTAAAGAAATCATCTTTTTTAAACTAAACAAGTTCATAATATAGGCTGTACAGTGGTCCATACCATTAAATTGCTAGAGTAGTCCTTGATGCACTTTGACCTATTCCAGCTAGCACTCTTTCAAGCAGCATCCCAGCACAGCTAGGGGACAGCAGAGGCTGGGAGTTATTCCTGGTATTATTTTTGGAGGGGGCTGGGAGAATTTGTGAGCATGAATAGAAGCTGTCACTGTAGCTGGTCTCCAGGCCAAAAAATGTTTCCTGGCTTGCTCTGTTTACTGGTACATCTATAGCCCAAAGTGTCCCTTGAAAAGGTTCAAAAGTGCACTGATTGTAATAAAAATGAGAGTTCTTTTAAATTTTTGAATTTTACATTTCTTTCTGTCTTTCTTTCTTTCTTTCTTTTTTAATCATGCTGACAGCTTGACACCAATTATGGCTTGTGACAAGTTGTAAACATAATTACAAGACAGAGGCTAAAAATGCTGTCAGTTTGAGAAGCACACAACTCACAGCAGCAAGCTGAATTCTAAAATCTAGCAGGTACCTTGTTCAGCAGAGATGTAAGTCTGTCACATTGGAGCCTAACCCTCAAGACTGCCATTTTGGGGGCAACTTTGTATAGGCTACGTTCTGCTAAAAAGCCAACTCTGCCCTCTAAGTTCCTCTTTTGCAGTTTTATCTGTCACTGTGATGGGAATGAACTGAGCAGAAAATGTGCAGTATGAGTTATAAGCTTTCTACAGGCTCCCCTAGAGATGGCTGTCGGAGCATGTTGGTTCTGCAGGCCTGGGTTGGACTGCAGAAATACCTCAGAGATCTCCTGAGAGCTTTGGTGCAGTGTATGCTGCAACTTCAGGCACTCACGTGGGAGAGTCAGTTCTTTAGGTGCCGAGATCTTTGACAACACACTTTGCAACCCTTCCTGGCTCCACATGTGTCTGCTGTCTTCTCCTGTAACTGCAAGGTGCTGAAGCCACTGGGGAAGAGTGTGACTCCCTGCTGCCTTGGGATAGGAACTGACTTCACACTGGGATCTGAGCAGCTCCACAGCTACCGTGATCAGTGGCAGCTTCTCTGTGGTGTGCTGCAGCTTCACTGCGTTTCTCCTACTTGATGACTGAAGTGAGGCAGAAAGGTGTCACCTCTCACTGATCATCATTGGTTCACACCATGGCTGGATGCTTTCAGGAGGTTTTTCTATAGAATGCAGTTATGTGAAGGGACAAAACAGAGCTGAGAAGCTGTTACCTACCTTCAGAAGGGATGTGTTTTCAGAGCTATTTTTAATAACGATGAGTCAGAAATCCAGTTGCCTGGCCAGCTTTTCTGTCTAGGTGTATAGCACTGCTAATAAGGACATATTTGAGCAGCTCTTTCAGAAGTTTCTTGTGAGGTGACACATTTGTGGCACAAGAACTGCTTCTTTTTGTACTCACTATCAGTTTACAACTATGTATAGACTGATACACACATACATGAGGCAGATGTGCAGGTATGCAGACATTCCAGAAAGGCAGCAGTGCTGTACAGGGCAGAACAAAGTGCAGCTGGGTCCCCTTCAGCAGATGCTTCTTTGAGACAGTTGCTGCTGCGAGATTGCTGAAAGAGGAGCAAAATATGATAAGCTCTGATAAACAGGAAATCTCTCTGTGCACTTTTCCTCCTGCCTGCTGTAGTGGGCAGACACTTGGATGCAAGTGTTTTGCAGTGTGTAGGCTGTGTACCCTGTGCAGTGTATTTAATGCTACAAGCTTTCAGAGGTTAGATCCAGTCCTGCAGCTGTGCTGCTCATGCAGTGTTCCTGTGAGCACTCTTACGCAGGTGTAGTTTAAGGTCTTACTACAGCTTACATCTTCCCATAGCTCTTAAAATCTAGTGCTTTTCAGAGTCTTTTGAATGAAGAAATACTAATGTATAAGATTCTGCTTGGTAGCTCTCTCACTAGAACACACAAAAGAAAGAGTGAAGCATTTGCTACCCCAGGAAAAGTGAAGTCCTGTCAGCTGTTACACTGGTCAAGAGAAAAGGCATGGCTCCAGGGAAAATGGTTGTCATAGTCTTGGGGGTATCTGTACTCTTCTAAAAAAACTCTCTGGCAATCCATTACACCTACTTAGCATTTATTTAAAAATATTCCACTTTGATTTTATGCACAATTGCTTAGCACACGCTTAACTTCAGTTCTGAGTCATGCCAATGATTCATGAAATACGAGGCAGACCAACCTCCCTGTTCTTTTTGCAGAGATACCTAAAAGACAAAGGTACGGCTGTCCCAGAGTGGGGCAGAAAACTGCAGAGAGCGCTGTGCTGATAATGCAGTCATTGCTCTCATATGTGCCCAACCCAATAGTTTTATGCTTTTGTTGCCCTTTTTTTCAGTTTGAATCAAAAATAAAACTAGGTTTTGTTGATTATAGATATTAACTGTATTATATATTTCATACGTGGCCCGTGACAATTCCTCTTCGCTGAGTGCGTCCAGGTGAGCCAGGAGGTTGGACACCCATACGCTACATTGCTATTTACTTAACTGAAATATTTAAATGTAGAATGAAACACGATGTCACGGCGTGTTCCTGTCTGTGTGCTTAACAGTACAAGCTTTCATGTTCTCAGGTGTCTGAAACATAAGTCACTCCGTACCGTTGGTGGTAATTCTGAACATCTATTTCTATTCTTTCAAGGCTTCCTTGAGCAAGGCTTGCTGGTAAAGGACGAAAAGAAGTTACGAGATCATTATACCCAAACTGTGCAGTTCAAGCTGGATGTGCTGTCTCTTCTGCCAACAGACCTGGCGTATCTGAAGCTGGGTTTGAACTACCCCGAGCTGCGATTTAACCGCTTGCTGAGGATTGCTCGCCTGTTTGAATTTTTTGACCGCACAGAAACCAGGACAAATTATCCAAACATGTTTCGTATTGGAAATCTTGTCTTGTACATTCTTATCATCATCCACTGGAATGCGTGTATATACTTTGCAATTTCAAAGGTAATTGGCTTTGGAACCGACTCTTGGGTCTACCCCAATGTATCCATCCCAGAGTATGGGCGCCTGTCGAGGAAGTACATTTACAGCCTGTATTGGTCAACGCTGACGCTAACAACCATTGGGGAAACTCCTCCGCCTGTGAAGGACGAGGAGTATCTCTTTGTGGTCATTGACTTCCTGGTGGGCGTGTTGATCTTCGCTACCATCGTCGGTAACGTGGGCTCCATGATTTCCAACATGAATGCCTCCAGGGCGGAGTTCCAGGCCAAAGTCGATTCCATTAAACAGTACATGCATTTCCGAAAAGTAACGAAGGATTTGGAAGCCAGGGTTATTAAGTGGTTTGATTACCTCTGGACCAATAAGAAAACAGTGGATGAAAAGGAAGTTCTCAAAAATCTGCCCGACAAGCTGAAAGCTGAAATTGCCATCAATGTCCATTTGGACACACTGAAGAAAGTGCGTATATTCCAGGATTGTGAAGCAGGACTGCTCATCGAGCTGGTGCTGAAACTGAAACCTACTGTCTTCAGTCCTGGGGACTACATATGCAAGAAGGGAGATATTGGGAGGGAAATGTACATTATAAAGGAGGGAAAATTGGCAGTGGTGGCAGATGATGGTATAACCCAATTTGTAGTCCTGAGTGATGGCAGCTACTTTGGTGAAATCAGCATCCTCAACATCAAAGGCAGCAAATCTGGCAACAGGAGGACAGCGAACATAAGGAGTATTGGTTATTCGGATTTGTTCTGCTTGTCTAAAGATGATTTAATGGAAGCCCTCACAGAATACCCAGAAGCCAAAAAGGCTCTGGAAGAGAAGGGCCGACAAATTCTGATGAAAGACAATTTAATAGATGAGGAAGCAGCAAAAGCAGGAGCTGACCCAAAAGACTTGGAAGAAAAAATAGACAGGCTTGAAACAGCCCTGGATACGCTGCAGACGAGGTTTGCGAGGCTCCTGGCAGAGTACAGCTCTTCTCAACAAAAAGTTAAGCAGAGACTTGCCAGAGTAGAAACCAGAGTGAAAAAATACGGTAGTGGCACCTTATCCATCGGAGAAGCAGAGCCTGAAAAACCTGAGGAGCAGAAAAAGGACTGATAGAGTATTTATATTTCATTACTTACTGGAGAAGGTTGGAATGTGTGAAAGCCATAAATGTATATAAATACGTGTGTGCATACATAGCCATGATTATTTTTATATGGACTTGAGAATGGTTTTTAGCATTTTTAACTGAAGCAGAATTTTCTTGTAAATAGGATAATGTCACCTTCTTCGTAGGGGAGATTTGGTCCATCATTTGGGTACATTTTTGTACTGGGAGTGGATTTCTTCTAAGTTATGCTCAGACCATCCGGTGCATGTATGGCATGCGTAGGTCTTGACACACTGTCTCTTCACACACACCTTGTGTTAAGAAGGCATTATACTTAAAGTAGAGGGGTTATTATGATTTTTTTTTTTAAGACTTTGAAAATATTTATAGGGTACATGCTCTACCTTCCTAGACTGTTAAATGCATGGATACACGTCCTGGCTTCTCAGAATCCTTCTTCTTTCACAGTGAAGCAATCTGCACAAGCTGTAGGACTACAGCTAAGAAGGCACTTGGCCTACACCGTGTAGCTCTGTGTACAACAACCCTCACTTGAGAGGGAATCCCCAAAAGCTCACTGGTGGAAGTTGTCTATATAACAATAAAGCTTTACAAAATCTGGGAAGAGCAAAGAGTGTCTTGCAGCTCCTGGACACTTGGTTTGCTCAGTGCTGGAGGGACACTGCTAGGAAGCTTTGCTGTCCAGAGAGGTGGTGGATGCCCTGAACCTGGAGACACTCAAGGTCAGGCTGGATGGGGCTCTGAGCGATCTGATGTAGCTGTAGGTGTCCCTGTTCATTGCAGGGGAGTTGGACTAGATGGACTCCTTTCAACTCTTAACAATTCTGTAAGCTTCTAGTACTGCAGGAAAGGCTGTCCCTGTCTGCCTGCTGCCCTTTCTTCCCCATAGGGTTCCTGCAAGCTGGGAACATACCCTCTGTTGCAAAATCTTTCCTGGCATTAGATCTATGTTTTCTTTATTTCATTAACTAACACAGGTGGAACCATTCCAAGTATTACTTACACCAAACAGAACTTACACCTGCCAAAGTCCCTCCCCTCCACCAAAGACAAGAACACTTGTTTACCAGATGGGTACAACAGCTTCAGCCATCAGGGAAAGTGTTTGCTGGTCCTTTTTCCTTTCTCTCTGCCAATCACATGCCAGAAAAAGAGAACTCCTGATAGAATTGGCTTTGGTCACTTTAAAATGTGTAGCTTTTGGCACTGTGAAATCACATCTTTTGCCATCTTTCATCTCTGTAAGACACTTTTTCCCCTTAATGTGGATACAGCATGTACATTAAATTATTTTGAGTAGCTCTGTGTTTTTTCTCATCCCTCCCCCTGTTTTTTTAGTGTTTTGTCACAGACTTCAGTAGTACCAGTAGTACATAGCCCGGAAGACCCCGATGTGACAGAAATCCAAGTGGGGACCACTGCATTCTGTGCTTACTGCAGGGCATCTGGGGCAGCACCCTGCTTCTGTGCCCAGCTCTCCACACCCAGAAGCACAGCAGGGATGGGCCCTCATCCAGCAGAAATACACACTTACAACAACCTTCTGCTACCCAGAGCTCCTCCCCTGGCAGGAGCTGGGCTGATCCTTGAGCCCACCCAAGAGCACAAAAGCAAGGAACATGAAAGCTGTTAGGGAACGCATAGACACACAGCCTGAAAAGGCAACCAGCAGTTCAGTGAGTCCAGTATCCACTTCACACGTTAGCACCAGACAGAACCTGGGAAGGAGCTGGGGACTATGCCTGGTAGTGTTGCTCAAAGAGGAGACCCAGGGGTTTTTAATATCTGCTACAGGTGCAGGAGGGCCAGATTGAGGAAGCAACAGCATACACACAGCCTCACACAGCCAGTGTTTGTGGTCAGCCTGCTTGTGCAGACCTCACTCAGCAAGAGCTGAGGAACAACCCCTGCACTTAACACTCAGACATCAGCTCTACAGTTTTGTTCTGGCCAAATATTTATTAACCTGCAAGCAGAGGGCTGTGCTTTACATTAAGAAACAAACTGCTCTTTTTCCACACCCACATCAGTGTCTCTCTGAGCTGGTCTGTCCATTGCAGGCTTAGGTCCCATATTGCTGGCCAGGATGAGCAGGGAGTTCATCAGCCAAACCTCTTACATGCTGGGCACAGCAGTACAGCAGGAGGGAGTGCTGACCACAGGAAAGCTGTTCCACGTCTGGACTGGCAACATGGCAGCATTTGTGCTTGGCTTCAGAGTCCCCTGGCACTATGAGCGTTTCCATCCTGGAACAGACAAAAAGAATCAGATCCGTGTTTACATAATTCAGCATTCATAAAACCCTTTGTGTGTTCCTGACAGCAAAATGAATTATTTACAAGATGGGTCTGGCAACTGCACAGGCTTTGGGCTGTGGCAGCTTTCCGGAGAGAAGCTGTCAGTCTGGGAATCCCCAATTCTACCCTAAATTTACAGCAGAGAGATGAAAGAAGGATGCTGAGCAGTGGAGCCCTCAGGGAGGCTGGGGAAGCTCTACTGTCCTCCACTCTACCTGAGGTGGAAGCACACACACGCACACACACACATCCCACGGAACACCCTGAGGGTCTCCAGCCAGCTTGACCTTTTGTTCCCCAAATTCAGATTTCGCAACCATTTCCAGCTCAAATTTACTCACTGGGCTCACAAGCCAAATGCTGAGGCTTGCAGCTTCCAGCGGCCCTCATGACTTTGCTATAGAGGAGGAGATTCTGCAGCCAGGTCTGCAGCATGAGGAGAGGCAGGGCAGACTCTGGGTGCATGAGGAAGTCAGCTCCTGTAGCCCCATGCACTGGACAGCGGGCTGTCCTCACCTTCCAGAAGGAGCACTACCATTACCTTTACACCAGAAGCAGCAGCAGCTCTGAGACTTTCTCCAAGCGCACTACCAGATCCGCCCTATGTGTAGTTTGTGTTTCAGCTTTTTGCCTCTTTGGACATGTTCCATTTGTTTCTAGGCTTTAATTCTTTAGTCTTCTGTTCCCATTACCAGCAGTTGTTCTCCCCTTCCTCCTGCAGGAGAAGCTGTCCCACCAAGGCCACTCACCCTGAGCCCAATTCAGCAAGGACCAGAGGCCTCTGCACACAAAAAGATGGAGAAACACTAAAGCATCTTTGTTTTTTGGCACCGCTTATCTCCAGGGCTGATGAATTGAACAAACTGTGCTGCAAAGAGCCAACTGTCAATTCCCCTGCAGTTCAGATATTTCCAACGAACTTCAAAAGATTGCCACTATTTTCATATTATATGTGGATTTAGGCCATTTAGAGCAAGTCTTGGGGCTGACTGTTCCAGTGCTCCACACAACGCAGCCTCATACAGCAGGGGTTTGGGGACATCCCTGCAATGCTAAAGCAGGCAGGTCATTGTGCACACTCATGTTGTGCATGGACATGACTCAGTCCTACTGCTGACCTTAGGCTTCAACATTTTTGGTTGCTTCAGTAACACTGAGGGGCCCATCCATTATTGTTGAAATTGTGCACAGGTACAAGTGGTGAAGTCACGAGTCCTGAAAGTGTTCCAAGTATTATGTAGATGTGGCACTTCAGGGACATGGTTAATGGGCATGATGGGGATGGGCTGATGGTTGGACTTGATCTTTTCCAGCTTGAATGATTCCATAACAGACATGTACATGTACAGCATAGACACAGAGTGGGAACTGCAGGTAATTTATCACAATCCTTTGAGGCTAACCCTAGTATCAAAACAGCTTGTATCAGAAAAGGATTGTGTGGAGCTAAACGTGGAAGAAGCTTCTCTTGCGTCTTTTGTACTGAAATGCTGGAGTTGTTCTGTGTGATGAATGAGGCACAACCCAAAGCACACCAAAACCTCAGGATGAAGGCACTCAAAGCCACCACAAGTCTTTAATCCCCCTATGGTGGGGGTTACTGCAGTCTGAAGCTCCTACTGCAGTGGTGAAGGCTGCTGTTAGATGAAGTGTGACTCACGGAGACCCTGGCTCATGCTAGCCCACTTCAGTGTCAGCTCTCCTCAAAATATGGGGAGGGAAGACAGTCTCCTTGGTTGTCATGGTCCAGGCTCATGTTAGTGCCTGCCAAAGGGTAAATAAGCCCAGTCAGAAATTCACAAAACACTATTCCTTGAGTTTTGCTCACACACTGATGGCTTTTCCTAAAATCTTTTTCGCAATCGACAAAAGCCTTCACCTAAAACGTCCATGTTCCATTGAGATTGTATAGCACTACTGTACCTTCAGGTTTAAGAAAAACAATCCTTTCAGTCCTCTTCCAAGTACCCAAGAGAGATTTTTAATCACAGGTTAAGTAAACCTAAACTTGTGATCCTTCTGTAGACCCAGAATTTGCTCAACCTTGCTGAAAACCAGTGGAAAACATTCAGGGCTGTTCCCAGAGCCCAGCAAAAGAGAACTGAAATTGCATGTTCTGTACCTTGATGAGCTCTTCCAGAAACAGAAGACCGTCTGGAACTCCTGTAGAGCAGGAGAGCAGCTTGGAGCTGCACCACTTCAAGAGTTATTTATCTGGAACTGTAACAGCTGCTGCTGGAGGATTAGCTGAGGTTTATAAACACTGCTGAGGAGATAAGAAAGCATTTTGGGAAAGAAGGCAAATATTTGCATGGAAAACTTGTCAGTTGCAAAGTCTTCATAGCTTACCTGAAAATGATTCCTCAAGAAACAACCTACAGTTTTAAAGGCTAACACAATTATGCATTATTTTAATGCTAAAGAATGACAGGAAAAGCATATTTACAATAACAGCACTTGAGTGAGAGCTCTGTACTTCTAGGCAATTATGTTACCTGCCCAACTTTTGGACACGCCTAAAGACCGTCTTACATGTCCATCAGTTGGGCATAACCACCATCACAGAATCACAGAATGGCTTGGGTTGGAAGGGACTCCAAGGATCATCAACCTCCAATCTCCCTGCCACTGGGCCACCAACCTCCAGATCTGGGACTAGACCAGGTTGTCCACGGCCCCATCCAACCTGGTCTTGAACACCTCCAGGGACGGAGCATCCACAGCCTCTCTGGGCAGCCTGTTCCAGCACCTCACCAGTCTCTGTGAAGAACTTCCCCAACATCCAATCTAAACCTTCCCTCTTTGAGCTTAACCACCTTGAGTTTACCATCCATAGTTACACCAGAACAAAACATATCACAGATATACTTTAAACAGTATCAGGTACTGATGTCATTTACACCTGCAACAAAACACCTCACGGCACTCAGCAGACTGTTCTCACCACCTACAGTGAAAGAAGCCCTACGTCCAAATGAATCCACGAGCACCGTCAAACCATCTTACATTTTCCTCTACGATCTGACAAATTCAGAGATGGAAGTGCTGAAGGTGTTCCTTAAGTGTGACCTGAAGGTCAAAGATGAGAAGGCAAAGAGCATCCCTCCTGCCCCAGCAAGGCAGATGTGCATCAGCTGGGACTCAAAAGCAGAACACTGCCGGGCCCCATGCCACTACAAGTTCATTTCTGGAGAGTTTTTACACATCTTTAACTCTCAAATTATGCTATACTACAATGTTTTCTAAACAAATAATTTAATATCCAGTTGATCAAAGTAAGGAAATCGTTTGCTTTTTCACTGAAACATGGTGAAAAAAGGTCACTGTTTTATTCAGCATCATAGTTACATAGCAGTTGTCTGTTTCTATTACTAGAAAGTAATTATTAAAATAATCCTGAAAGACATCTTTTCTTTCTCCAATGATTTCAAAACTATGCCTTTTTAATGCCAATTCCACACAGCCACTGATCTGATCTGTAGTAGTCAGTTATAGCAATTGTCAAGGCACAAGCTCAGCTCTGCATGTCAGCTGTAGCTTGTATTATAAAAGAGATATGCCAGTTATGTCTCCTCTTAAAAATGCATAATCCCTTTGTCATATATTGCAACAGGAGAAATTAACATTAAACACAGACTACAAAAGGTAAAGGATTTATTTCCGATATGATTTGTTGAGTTAAATTAAAAACCTACTGAATATTTTCTGTAGCAGATGAACATAACCTCATTACTTACTTTCTAACAGTTTATTTAATGGTTGGAAGTGTACAACATGAAGTAGGCCTTTAGGTTTAATATTTTTCAATTTTGCTTATCGTTAGAGATTAAAATACAGCAGCCATCCCTTTAGATTATGTTGCAACACTGATCATGTGCCTTGATAAGGAGGAACAATGATTCATTAAATAAATGGCCATGACATAACACGTAGGGAAGACTTTGGATTGTCTATTTAAAAGGTCAACATAATAGGCAATTAAGAATAAAACTTCATTTTAAGTGCACTTCCACATGCTTTGTTTATAATATAGCAAAAACTTCCTATTCCCACCCCCCCCAAACACTTCATCACTCCCTACTCTAAAGCCGTTCAGTTGAAAATGCACTTTTCCCCAGTAAACTTTTTTCTTTTTTTAGAAAAAGTAACTAAAATTTCTACCCTTTCATATGCTAAGAAATGTTTTTCTAATTAAAACCACAATTTATTACAAGACATGTGAAGACAACATATAGTGAAATGAATTTTAATTGTTGTGCTGTGACTAAAGTAAAGTTTTCAAGGCTGCAATTTAACATTCCAAGTTCTCCCTTCCATCTTTATTGATTCTTAAGGTTTTGCACAGAAACTCTTTGGGGGCTAGAACAGCAGTAATTGCATCACACTGTTTTCCAAGACTTCAAGTTTCAAAAGCAAACTCTTCAAAAAGTACAGTTCTTGATTTGATTAGATACAGGGACAAAAATATAGCACATACTTGAAGGTTACATAGTCTACAAATGATGGCAATAGTTTCCTTGGGAGAGTACAGTTTGTTTTCTTGTAAATACTCAAAAAGGCTCAACTTCAAGCAGTAATAAACACAAGCAAAAGTGATTTAACCCTTAAAATAAATATTCAGGAAAACCTCTCTGTACATACAAGTGAAAGAATATGTAACACTTTCACGCTAAAAGAAAAAATAAAGATTTTGTTCATATAAGCAGCTGAAATCTGCTGTTCCAGCCCAATGTCCCCAGTAAAGAAGGGAGGCACAAACACAGGTGACTACTGTAGCTCACTATCTTATGGCCTTTTTGGACAGGGACATCACCACCATCATTTTTTTTTCATCCCTTTTGTTACATTTATTACAGCATGCCAAATCCTTTGGCGTATGTGATGGCCTTCAATAATCTTTCTTTAAGCTTTTCTTTGCTTGAGTACTCCGGAAGCAAAAGTACATTAAAGCATGTGTGAGATGTAGGTAACCTGTGGGGAAAACAGAAAATAACTGAGATGAAGGAACACGTACGCATGCACTACATGCAACAAAATGTGCTGCTATTTCATTATTATGGATTTAGGAATTCAAAGAGCATCCTCTTTGCTTCAAGATTCAACTTTCAGATTTAACTAAGTTAATAAATTAAATGAAAGCACAGAATTTGTTTCCATTTATAAACAAGCAAATAGAATTTTACCTCTCTGTATCTGGGCCATTTTTGGCTATGATCATCTTTAACTTTCCAAGTCCTCCCACAGGGGCTCTGTCTGTGCCTGTTGTAAACTGCAAGAATAGTCTTTTCTGTTCATCCGTAAATGAATGGACTATCTCCCAGAATTCCCTAGCAAGGAAGAAAGAAATAAGTGAATTGACATCAGTCTTCAATGTGAGACCTTCAAAAGCTATTAAACTTTGACATTTTAGAAGTCCAACCAGTCTTATCAATTCACAAGTTACATTGAAGAAAACCCATCACCAACATATTTACCAATCACTGAGATAACCAGGTAGAAATTAGAAATATTACCAAAATACTGTAGTTTAACTAATTTTTAAGTGTTAAGTCTGCTGATAAATGATCTGCAAACATTTTTTTGTCTCACTATTCTTCTGCCCCCTGGAGTAGTACTGGTTCCACTATACTGTTCAATTGAACCACCTGCTTTCTTAAACACCACAAACTGCTGTCAAGAGCTCTGCTCTATCACGAACGACAGTTCTATGATAAAATCCAGAAGACCAAAAATACGTGTCTCTGATTCTTGCCTTCACAGAGCTCCCCAGTCAAAGGGGACAGAAAAGGAATAAACACACTAAAAACATCTCCCCTCTTAAAAAAATGTTGAGTTTGCTTGATTTCTAATCAGAGAAATAAGTTCTTCACACATTGTGCCTATTCAAACAATTCATTCCCTCAAAGAAAACCAAAGCAATGCTAATTTATTTAAATTGTCCTATTTATATGACGTAAGAGAAAGACAAGGTCCCAAATAAACAAACTTTTAAGATTCACAGAAGCTCAGTGGAAGCCAAAGCATTGCTTATGGTATCCGCTCTAATGACAGTACTCGAGTAAAGTGAAATTATAGAGAAGACTTAAATCCAATACCATAAAAATACAAAATCTTACACTATTAAATTTGTTACGAAGAAACAAGAAAGCAAACTGCTTGTAATCCTTCAGAAATTTTAAAAAAAAAAATTACCTAATAATAAGAGAGTCTCTTGTATAGCCACCATCGTATTCTGTAGTTTCTTCTAGTGCTTGAAAATCTAAATTCTGTAAGAAGATGACATTTTTAAGAACGACCACTAATTATATTATGATCAAATAAGTTCCACTTTTTCTGATGTACATTCAGGACTCTTACCCTACTTCCACAAATAAGTAATTCAATTTCCTCTGGTCTAAATAAATATTTCAAAGGAGATTCATTGGTCACCATGTGGAATCCTCTCCGAAAGGCCTTGAACTGTTTTTCTACTGATTTATTGAGTATATAGTCAGCATACAGATTGACAAATTCCTGTAAGAAAACAACCCCCAAGAAATCCTTAGTACTTTGATGCACACTCCATTCAAAGAATCTCCTACTAATGTAAGACTCCAAAATACATTTAGCTCTATGACTCTACCCATATAACCTGGGCTCAGCTTCTACTCAGTAATGGTAAGGAGCAAGTCTCAAATGTTTCTCAAACAGGTCAAAATAGCCCCACAGAAGCTATATATGTATGAATGTATTTATCAATATTCCCTTTAACAAAACAAAACCAAGTAAATATATGCTTTAACACTTACATTGTGAGACAAAGTTTCTATAGAATATTTCTGCACAGAGCACCCAAAAAGTACTGATTTCTTTTAAGAAGTTATTTGAGCACAAAGCATACCTTTCTATTTTCATTTGTAATAGGAATTTTATCACCGTTTTCCTTTAAATCATGCATCATTGGATTGCCAAAGAGATCCGTGTGAGATATTTGAAAAGTTATCATCATATCATCTTCCACACTTCCTTCATACTCTAGCAAGTCTCTCAAACTCTGGTAAAGAACCTATTAGATTAAGATACAGGTCTGTCATAACTGAGTTTCAATACATTTCACAGAGCAATACCAAAGGACACGAAATAATCTGTCATGAAAACAGTTGTGACAAGTTACTTAATTCCCATTCACTCCTAACAAACATCAAACTCACTCAGTGTTTGTAAAAGCAGCCAAGAGCAGATGCTAAGGGAAGAGAAAGAGATAAAAGGCAACAATTGATAATAACGACATGAGGAAAGCTTACTATTAGCCAGGGGTCATGTCAAACACTGTGGTCTGATCTATGAGTAAAGAGCCAGTGATTAACTTTCACTTCTAACTTTTTTGAACCCATATTTACATCCAGAACACTTTAAACCACTAAGTTCAATTTATGCATTAAAAATCACAGAAATAACTGTATCAGAGAAAAAAATGGGCAGCAGTTTTTTATCTCCTACATCTTGATTTAAAAGTGAATTAGGGAGTAATGTAGAAGCAAACAACATAGGACAGTCATTAAATTAAGAAAGTGTCTGTACAAAAAAAAAAGTAAAGAAGTTAAGAAATCCCAAGGTCTCTACAAAATAAGTACAGCTTAGGTCAGAGGTTGACAAGTGCAATCTGAAATTACTTTTGACAGTTACTTCCACTGAAAGAAATGGTCAGTCTTCCTCCTTACAGTGCCTTAGGAAAAGACAAAGGCTCTCCGGAAACCAAAGCCTACGCAGAACAGAAACAATTCTTTGGCTAAGACAGAGGTGTAGGACTCAGACTGAATACAAACTGAAGGTAAAAGAAAAAATAAGTGCAAATGTATTTTTGTAGTTAAGTAGTAGTAATAAGTTCCCTCTTTATGTTTTAATTACTGGAAGCTTACATGAAAGCCTCACTCTTTTACTAGCTGTATTCTTTCAAAATTTCACAGCATCTCTAAAAATCCCTTATATTGGAAATGACTGGATTTGAAACCCTTGGTTGTACCCGGGTAGGGAAGCCCCTATCCATCCTCCACGTTCTATCAGAGAAAGTGTTGTGTGGCTTGATTACCTGGAACTTCATCTTTGGTTTGTGAAAGCTCTGAAGTAAGTTTTTAAGTTATATTAAAATACCAAGAGGAAGCACAATACAAGCATCAAATCTTTGCAAGTCAAGAGCCACTGTAATGTATTTTGTAGAAAACTATACAATGCAATTCTACCTGTTGTTTTAGAAATCTCTTTGGGAAGCTATTAAACAATGATCAACAACAAGTCATGTTAATAAACTGTTTAATAGTTAGTTAATAATACACAACATTAAGCAACATTGGTAGTTTGCAAAAAAAAAAAAGAACTAAGCTCTATTAATATCCAGCCGTATTTGTTCACAACCTCCACCAAGTCAGATGTAGGTTTTCATTGCTATCTATTTGTTTAAACAGATACAGACTCTACACACAAGGCTAATTTACTTTCAGCTTTGACAGTTCTATTGTATTTAATTGAAAACTTCATTAAGGCAGTACACAGAAAATGCAGTAATAAACACAAAGAACATAATGAACTTACAGGATGAGAGTCTGCCAGATCACGGAAAGTTCCTTTTTTGCCCATTAGCTTCCTGTAGACAACCATGGGAAAATGTACATCCAGTATACAGTTATTGTAAATGGCGAGCCCCAGCACTATGCCAATCAGTGTAAACTGACCCTCGGTTTCGAAAGAGGACGGATTAAACCAAAACAGTTTTGTAGATTCATCATATGTGAACATGCCTGTAAAAATTATTTTAAACAGTTATAGTTATATTTAAAAAAAAAAAACAAACCAACAAACCACCAACATGTAAAACACAGCTTTATAAACCCCTGTATATTAGAACGTCTCTGAAACATTGAGAATTATGCTGAATTTAATGGCAAAGAAAAGCTACTTACCTTTAGGGGAACAGAAACTACTCAAAACGCTAGTGCTCACATTACCACTAAAAGCATGCATGAGCCCTGTGATACTAAATCCTACATCGCCTGCTGAACCTGCACGTACACAACCTTCTATCCCTCCTATTACTGAAGAAGCAGCACATTGTCAACACAGATTTTAACTCTGATAAATCCAACGGTGCAAGAGCAGAATGTAATCAAAAACATGTGGATGAAATCACACTGAACTCTAGTTAGCGTAAGTAGTGGACTTTCCTCAAAGGCTTTTCTATGCTGATTCTAGCTAAAAAACAGCACTACATGCAGTTTCATCACTGAGCCATGCAGCAGGAAAGGATCTGGGGGTGCTGCTAGTCAACAGCTGGCTGAACACGAGGCAGCAGTGGGCCCAGTTGGCCAAGAAGGCCAGTGACATCATGGCTCGTATCAGAAATAGTGCAGCCAGCAGCAGCAGGGAGGTGATGGTTCCTCTGTACTCAGCTCTGGAGAGTTGTGTTCAGTTTGGGGCCTCTCACTACAGAAAAGACATTGAGGCCCTGAAATGTCCAGATAAAGACAATCTGTGAAGGGTCTGGAGCACAAGTCTGATGGGGAGCAGCTAAAAGAACTGGGATTGTTCAGTCTGGAGAAGAGAAGGCTCAGGGGAGATCCGACCGATCTCTACAATGACCTGGAAGGAGGCTGGTGGTGGTGGTGAGGTGGGGGTTGGCCTCTTCTCCCAGGTAACTAGCAATAGTAGGATAGTAATTAAGGTAATAGCCAGGGGAAGTTCATTTTGGATATTAGGAAAAATTTCTTTACAGAGGATTGTGAGGCATTGGAATGGGCTGCCAAGGAAGGTGGTGGAGTCATTGTCTTGGTCGAGGTGTTCAAGAACCGTGTAGACGTGGCACTGAGGATGTGGTAAGTGGGCATAGTGGGGATGAGTTGACAGACCCAATGATCTGAGAGGTTTTTTCCAACCTTCGTGATTCTATGAATTGAAACTTACGGTGATGAGCTGGTGACAAGAGTTACAAATGAACTTAAAGTGAGTTAGATGCCCAACATGCACTCAGGCATATACATATAAGCATATAAAAATGTAAACAATTTTCGATACTCAACTGAATTGCTTCAGCTGTCACACATGTTCTAACTTGATGAGAAAACCCAACATAGAACTGCTGTTTCATTGAAGGGTTGCAATTTTAATAGTATGTTACTGTTATAAGGGGTAGTGGCTTTGTCTTTTTCCCTATATCCCCTCATTTCATTAACATACTGTTTCAGGTAACTAATTTCTTGCCAAGTTCATAAAAGGCTTCATTAAACAGCTGAACTGACCCATGCCGAAAGCTGAAAGGAGGGGATAGGGCTATATGAATGAGAGTAGGGCAAAGAGCCTCTTACCCTTTTTGCTGTAGCAAGTCACCAGATTAGTTCTTGCTCATCAAATCAGTTTTTACACAGGCTATAAACTATTCAAATGAATCCCTCTATGAAGTCCACTGCTTACAACAAATGTCTAATAACGAAGGACAAACATTTTTCCCAGATTCACCTCTGAAAAGGCTCTAAAATGGAATCCAATTTTATTCACTGACCAACATTAGAAATACTGTGCATTAAAATCACAACACCAGAAAAAAAAGGGAAGCTGAAATAAAAGGAAAACAATTGCACAATGTAGCTAGGAATATTATATTCTTTTATATATAGAATATATTATTATATTCTTTTACCGTGAAAATTACTGGTAATAAATCCCCAACTCTGTGTTATTGCTTCCTTGAAGAAAATATTTAAGGTGGTTTACAATATGAAAAAATCTAGCAACATTCTTGCAAACAAATTATTATAACAGTAAACATCACTCCATGTAACTATCAGAAGACAGCTAATAATCTTCAAAGGATTTTTTCTACATTTACAAATCAGAAGTCATGATTGGTATAAACAGTGTGTAAGCTGTTATACTACAGTGCATATTCATAGATGCAAAATAAAAATGTGGAAGCAAGCCATATTTTCTACTTCTACATACCTATGGCATAAGCAGATAAGTTAGTTTTTGTCACTAAAGTTGATATAAATGAAAAAAAGCACGTAATTATTTATACTTGAATAAAACAGCAACATTTAAACCATGCATGCAAAGTTAATGTATTATGGATTTTTATCTGTAGGGAACATACATACACTAGCCAGATATTACTAGCTGAATCAGACTTCAATTCTGACATAGGACTACTTCATTATACAGCACTGAATAATGAAAAAGCCCACACAACTTTCATTAATCCAATGTTAAATAAATGAATTTTACTTTGGAAATAGTACTTTATCAAAATAAGGAGTCTTAATACTTTCATACACTCTAATATATTCTGACTAGCCTTGCTAACCTAGATTCTAAATCTCTCCAACAGCAGTTTGCTGAGTAAGACTTATCTACAGATCTATGCCACTTTTTAACAAGATCTTGCTTGCATGTGCTGAAGGGCAAGTCCCAAGATTCAGATTCTTTTACTGAGAACTTCCTTTCTTGTCTGGTCAAAATGAATACCTGTTTCTGTGTCAATTTTCTAAACCACAAAGCTCAATATAATGGCTTTAAAAAGAAAATCAGTTTGATGAACACAGGTTTCCTACCAGCCACAAGCTGTTGAGCTTTAATGGAAGTTGCATTACAGGAACTAAACTGTTCCATCAAACTCTAAATAAATCATGAAATTAGCACAGTAACTAGGCAAAAGTCTTTGATTTCTATACTGACACATTGTATTCACAATAATATTTAAACAACTTTAATCCTCTAAAAGCTGCAAGCAAGCTGCATATTAAAAGCAGAGTATAGTTGCATTTAAAGAAAATGGAAGTGTTAAGGAAAAAACAATAAATGTGATTAAAACACAAATATAAAAACTTTGACTATAACAAATTATTTGTAGTTCTTCATCAACTACAAGCAAATCTGACACTACTGGTATGCTGTAGCCATTTTAGATTAAACCATTAGAAGAACTGAGATTTTTAGAATGAGATTTTCCTTAACCCGAGGGAAGGGGAGGAAATAACTCAAGAACTCACCATAGTCCTACTCTGGTTTTATTGCAGAAGTTCTTCCTCTTTGGTTTGCTTACTAATTCTAGAAGCTAATCACAAAGCAAAGCGAGGAGAAAGGTGAGAGAACAAACAAAGGAACCCTGTCCTACTGATTCATATTTAAGCAAACAACGATGGCTCTCACTAACTGCACAGTTATGCCTCTCATCACTGCTTCTCAGAAGGACGACTGATGGCAAAATGCTGAACCCTCAATGAGTTAAGTACTCTCATGATCACCAAGAAATCAATTTGTGAAGCTTCAGGGAAAAGAAGCAGCAGATGTAGAAAGGCACTACAAATACCTTCACTTCTGAGTATTCAGTAAGTCATTAGACAACATACCAATATCTGGATTGAAGATTTCTTCCACAACCAGTTGAAAAAATTCTTTGGAAACACCTCCTTCATCTACCCCTTGCTCTCCTTCAAATTCAACATACAATTGCTTCTTCAAGTCTGCAGGATTTTCCATGGCAATCATCTCTAGCTATTAAGTGAACAGATGTAATTATTTAATTAGTACATCTCAGTGGAACATCAAGTAACTAAAGCAAAATCACCCTCCAGATCTAAGAAGAAAGCATGTACAAATCACAACTTAAAATATACCAATATTAATGTGAAATCACTTTAAACATGTAGTAATTCGGGAATTTCTGTAGCAAGAAACTTATGAAAGATGAGATCTGTTAGCCAGTTAAGTCTGCTAGAGCTCTCTATTGTCATTCTTTTAAACACTTCAAGTCAGTCAGCATTAAGTTGGATAAAAATCACAAAAACAAATATGAAAACAAGATGTATTGCTGTGGTAACTGAATTCATCTGACAACAAAAGACTGCAGTTTGATCTACATAACTGACAACTACATGTTTTGTGAATACACACACATTTTTTGGAAGCTTCACGTGATAACTTATAGCAGAAGACAGAAGACATGCCTTTATAAGGTGACCACATCTCACTAACAGTGTAGAGGTGGGAGGAACAAAAACAAAAAGACATTGATATTACTCAAATCTCCTTTCCCCCTGACCCTAAATGAAGAAATCTCAATTCTCTTGTTCTTTTGTCTTCAGCAGCCTTAAGCAGATCTACGGCATTTCTTCCTGGGAAGCATAAAGTCAAACAGAAGGGATGTTTTACAGCAAAAGGTTTCACTTCTATATACAAACTGTTACGGGGCTGTAACACTCTTTCCAAAAGAAATTTGTCCTTTCATTAAACAACAAGTTAAAGGTTTTATACCTGGCAAGAAATAATGCTGTTTGAAATGTAAGTGTACTAAACTTGTACAGCATTATTATATTAAACATATCTACATGCAGAAGAAAATTCAACAGCAGTACAGTTAAACAAAGATGAACCTGAACGTTCCTCTATGAAGAATTCTACGTTGCTGACCGTAACTGTCAAGTGTATTTACCAGTTTGTGTTGTTAGCATGCTGAACCATTTCTTTTCTATTTCACTCCCCCAGCTTATCCTCACAAACACCAACACACTCCTTAACACCCCAGAATTTTACTATGGGAGTGTAAAGGAAAACAGGAAGAAACAGGATAAAGAAGGAAGTGACACCAGCGACTGAGACATCAGGCCAGATGAGTGACAGAGCTCAAGATGGGTGAAGACTTTGAAGCTCCTCATGCAAAAGGAGCATGTGGAGAAAGCACATCAACAGGTATTGAAAATTAGTATCAGGAGGGGTAGATACAGGGTACTTATATATAGCCCATAAATAGGGTAGCTCCACTGATTATAAAGCAATGTTAAAGAAATAGAGGTGACCCACAGTGAGTGAGATCAGATTACTAGATGAGATATATATTAAGATTTTTTTTTTTACATGGAATGTTGTAATTTGGATATGTACCATCTAAAGCAATCTCCCCATACAGTATTCAATTGACTGTCACTGGCAATGAACTATTTTAGCTCCTAAGGAGACTAAAATAACATGCTTTGAACTTCACCATGTTTTTAACAAACAGTATTTCTTCTATAAACCCATGCTGCGATTCCCTAACTTTGATATTCTCATCACACGTTTCCCACAGTAGTACAGCACTGCATCTTGCCTTCCATATCAATCTTTTTAAGTTATACACTATACAGATGTGTTAGAAGAATTTTGCTTCTGAACAGGACAAGCCATGTTCTAAGTAAAACAGACAGTCATTTAAATAACATCGTAGTAATTTTCAGATCATAAATACTGGTTATACATGAAAGCTGGATAGACACAAGTGGCACTAATAATAGTTTTTTTTTCTTCCCAGCCCATGACTTTTTTGACTGTATATTTGCTACCAAATATCAAATTACTATTTTGAAAGTTTTATAAATTCTGAGTTCTGAAAAAGCACGTATTGAGTGTGGATTTTTGTTGATGCAGCAATCTCTTGCCATAACAAAGATTCTCATGTCAGGAAAGCACTGCATTTATCCTTAGTTCTTTGGCTGAGAACTAGACTGCAACGAGCAACATAAAAGAAAAGTAGTAAGAAAGGGGAAGGAAGCACTCTTAGTTGATCAGTGCTGGCTGGGTAGATTGAAACACTGTGCTGGATATCTGAGAGGAAGTCAGATAAAGGATTACCAACAAGCCCATATTTGAGTTAGTCTAATGTTCCTTGAAGAAGATTTTATAACCAGGACAATGTTGCTAAGCTGCTCAATGGAAAGTCACAGATTTAGCTGCTCCTCTGAACATCCGTGTCTCCCAACTGATGCTTAACAAGAAAAAAAATGGAACTTGGTAGAAAACAAACATAATCAGAGAGGTCCTGAATTTCAGCATAACTGTGGTAGTGTTTCTATAGCAAGGAAGTATGAACGTTAGCTTAAAGGATTTATATATTTCTTTTTTAAATAACCAGATCTACTTCAGTCATGTTAACACAGATACTGCTGGATCAACCCAATCTGAGTGCATGTGAGTTTCAGAAGCTGACATTTTCTTCCAGGATCGTTTAGCTGAACATACGAAGTTACAACACGTTCCAGCAACTTTCCAGAAAGCATAATCCTAAGCTGCATTTCATGATCCAGATATATGCTTGCCCACATTGCTGGCATACATCAGTACAGTCAGAATAAGGACTGAGATTTTCAACTGAACACAAAAAACAATAAGTCTACAAGGACACCATAAAGCTCCTGGAATACTTGGTGCCTAACAGTGTGAGAATCTGCACGCTGGTTTTAGTATTCACACAGTTTTTGCTCATTGGCAGAGTCATTTACAAGTGGCTCACTGCCTACCAGCTGTCTGAATTCAAAACAAGATTTGTCCAAGTGAATTTCTACTCTGCAAGGAAGTACCAGCCAGAGATACTAGCTTGCTGGAGGAATCCACCACTGCAAATCTCACCTTGTAGCTCATACCTCTTAAATTACTGCTACCTGAAAATAAATCCACATAGAATCTGTGCAAAAAAAAAAAAAAAGAGTAAACTCAGAGGAAGAGGATGAAAGAAGTAACTGTTGGGAGATGAAAAGGCAGAAGAGGGGATTTAAGGATAAGCTTTTCATTACCACCACATCCATGTAACATGACTCAGTTGTATTAGAGCTAACCTCTTGAAAGAAATGCATTATACACACAAAAAGCATGTCAACTGCTTTCTAGGACTGCAAACTGACCTCTCAGCTCCCAAGTGTGAGAGTTCTGTAATAGAAGTGAAGACTAACACTTTACCATTTCCCCTCTCAGGAATCTTCAGACTAATGTACATAAAAATAAGTATACTGTAAGCATACAGTACAAAGTCTGTTTCATTAAGCTAATTTCAATAAAAAACAAAAATAAAGGTTCAGTGGCACACAACAAGCAACGAAATTGAACCACGAGTTTATACATGAAAATTTTACTTAGATGTATTTATTCCACGGACAACTACAGTTCTCTTCATAGAAAGCAGCTTTAAGTAAGTATTTAAAAGGTATTACTTCAAATTCTCAGGATAAGCAAAAAATCCTACTGTAATTAAAAAACACTGGTGTTCATATTTGTTTTAATGAAGTCCTAAAAGCAGGACGTACATGATGAATTCAAGTTTAAATATTGAGAGCAAACCAACTTGACTGATTAGCAGAGATCTGTAATCAAGTCCACTTGCTCAAATAAATTATGAAAGCTGATTGCTACAGTTGCCTTTAAAATATCCAGTACTATTAAAAATATGATTAGGATCACCTCAACCTCACTTCTTTATAATCAATATTCTTAGAATGACTTCATCATGAAATGGTCAGTTGTTATGCATATTGTAAAAAATTCTGTAGAAAATACCCTGTAAAAACACTGGTATAGTGACATGAGTATAAAATTACTTGTTATTCAAATGAATCATGGTATTCAGATCAACAGTTCATTGAATACAAATCCTGTAAGTAAAACAAACACAGGAAAAAACAACAGCAGTGCAAGAGTGAAATATTAGAAGTGGTATTACTTACCTGTAACTTCAGCACTGAACAGATTTAAGACTATACTTTCACAACTCAAGACTTGGCAAAATCTTTCTAATAGTTTTCAATGAGATCCTTGCCAAGTTCAATATCACACCCTAAGCTGCAGCTGTCACTGATACAAACCTGCACAGTGTAGCTTTCACTTTTGTACTGTGTGTTTCTATGCTAATGCTGATGGCATCAAATCTGTCTTTGACCTGTAGTTCCAACTGTGAGCGTAGTCAGAGACACCAAGTCACTTCTACGATTGGGACATACTCAAGGCTTCTATCCTGACTTATTTCACACCACTGAAGCATCAGGAAGTGGAAACGAATTGTGAAAATTGTGACAAGTACTTCCAAATTTGTTACAGGAAGCACTTATAGCAACAGCACCAGTTTTTAAACTGACAGATCAGACAGCTGCTGAATAAAGCACAAGGCAATAGCACTGGGCAGTATTTCCCTGACTAACTTGTCCTGCTACCTGCAGATTTACACCTTAGAGCCTTCTTGAGGTTTGTGTGGGTCACACGAAATGCCTGCACTTATTAGCTCCTGATAGAGCCTTCTTTCATGACTGGCAAATAAGATGAATAACTTCAAGATACACTGGAAGCATTATGTCCTTGAACACTGATAACTCTTATTGTCAATAAAAACACATTCGTCATTTAAAGGTGACTACTGTATGCTGTATTATTACTATTATATTCTCTCTTAGTATTTTTAATCATAGTTTACATAGAATCATAGAATTGTTTGTGTTGGAAGGGACCTTTAAAGGCCATCTAGTCAAATTCCCATGCATGAACAGAGACACCTACAGCTACATCAGGTTGCTTATAGCTCCATCCAGCCCAGCCCTGAGTGCCTCCACAGATGGGGCATCCACCACCTCTCTGAACAATCTGTTCCAGGGTATCATACCCTTACAGGGAAGAAAAACAACTAAACCCAAAACAATCTTTCCTTACATCCAGTCTAAATCTCCACTCTTTCAGTTTGAAACCAATGGTCTGTACAACAGAGTGAATCTTCAATCATCACCATTTCTTGAATATAACCCATTTTTCACTTTTGAGAAGTGCTTGGGCCATGCTTGTTTTTGTTGACCAACACCGTAAGTTCAGCTCACTGTTTGAATGTAAAAGCATTCAATTTTTCCTTTATTTTCTGTCTCAGAATAAACAGTCTACAATTTCTACTTAGGTTTTTGACAGAGTAAGATCACAATAACATAACATGTTTTGACAGCTTAAATTAACAACCATTACAGAGTCCATGGCAACTGCCCAGGCATGTATTTGTAGACTGCTGGACAGTGCTAGGGCTGCTGCACAAGCATCACAAATGAGTATGTTTGACTCAAATCACCAACAGCACAGTAATGTTTGCTGTGGCCCAGCTGAGCTGTAAGAACTCACCAACTAGTTGCTGTCCATGAGCTAAGTTACATTAAACACTTTTTGACCCCCAAAGATTTCTTCCCCACCTTCAGTATGAGGAAGGTCTGCTTCTTATCTGCTAGCTCTTACACTGTTTCAGTTCATCCACTCCTGAAGAGAAAGTACTTTACTCTTTTCCATTATTTAAGTGTATCAAAGTTGAAGAGTGTCAACAAAATAAACTGTTACTTTAAGGTGACAAAACTTAACTGGACATAAAGTAAGCTTGATAGATAATAAAACTACAAACAGATTCTAAAAAAAATAGATCAGAAAACAGGTACACAGGAGAGTTTAAACTTACAATAGCGTATTCCTCATCTGCCTATTACAAAACTATGCTTTCAGACTGAAGCCATCTTTGCATAGCAAATTCCCCTCTTCGTTTCCCCCAACCGGTACGCTAATGCAAAAATCTTCTGTGTCAATTCATAATATTAACAATTCCTGAGAAGCAGCTAAACCACTGAGAAATTCAGATGTATGCTGCAAATCAAAGTAGGAGCTCTTTCAGGGCTCTCATAACTGATCTTCAGTAGTAGTTGAAAGTCAAAATAGAAATAGCTGTTGCATTAGAAGCAAAGTCATATCTTCCCCAAAGTCTCTCCCAAATACACTCCCTGTCTGACATGTTAGCAACATGCTTTAAAAGCAAGTTTAAGTTTAAAAATTTACAAGGACTGTTTCACTTTTAACAGAAAACAAAAATGGACTTCTGAAAAATAAAAGCTTTAAGCAAAAAACTAAGTGGAGGAAAAGTTCTGAAATTAAGGGGCAAGTTCAAGGAACAGTGTTTACCGTTAAATACTCCTTGTAGTTTGTATTCTGCACAACTCCCATCTTCAAAAAATGCACGATCAAGTGTCTTTGTTTTACTTTAAGAAGCTAGCATATTCAGAAACAGGCTGCTCTCACAGTTCTCAGGTACTAACAGTTTCTACTTCCCCTTTCTCAATCATGTTATTTGCACCAAATAGCAACGAGGCTTAGAAAAGTGAGAAGTTCTACTTATCAAGCAGTCAATCTTTATATATGCTTTGTACCTAGAAGTCCAAGTCCTCAAGAATAGCACACAGCTGAAAGGCTTTAATTCAAACACCCATATGGAAAAGCCCCGTTATCAAAAGATGATGCAGCCCAGAATTGAGAGAAAATAAGAAAGAATTTGGCCACTCTCTTCATCAAGATGTAACAGCACAAAACCTGTTTGTGAGGGTTAAGAACTACCTTAAACTCCTATGATGGCAAGTGCTCTGAGATGAACATTTCAGCCTCCAGCAGCATATTCAGAAATTCAAACTTAATACAGCAAAGCTATTTGAGATTCTTGCTGAGGAAGTCTAGCACACAAAATACTGAATTCACATGTAGTCTTTTTCAGTTAGTCAAAGCCTGTGTAGTCTGTGACAGTCAAACGCTACAAACCTAGGTTCCAAGTTGCTGCGCGACTTACCCGCACGAGTGCATCATCTATGATGTGATCACGTCTCACTTTAAGTCGTAAATATGGGTTGAGCTGCTGTCCTTGTACTAAGCTGTAGAGCACAGTTATGCGTCGTTCACTGTACATCCGGATCCTATTGTCATAATACAGTCCCAGGTTCTTAGTAACAGCATTCAATATGAAGGGACAAGTCATAAAAGAGAATTTATTTTCTGTTTCTACTTTGAAGAAAGTGTAGTCTTTGTCCATTTCTAGAACATCATTCAGTGGTTCATTAATAAATTCTTCAAAGGGGATAAGTGGTTTTCTGCAATCTATAGTTTTAACACCAAGTTCAGTTTCCAGTGGGTCCACTCGAGGACCTTTTTTATTTCTTCTTTCCTCACCCAACAGCTCTTGAAGAGTTAGTTCACTTGATTCCGGGATGGGTTCTTCATCTTCCTCTTCATTATGATCCGTATCCACATCCCCTCCTACTACATTTGCATAGTAAACCATTTTCAAGCACTTGGAAGCAGCAACAACAGCATCGTCATCATTCACTAGGTTACGACTGTTGAACTCGTTGCTTATGACTTTGTAAGTAATAAGCTGCTGAAACGTCTCCATCATTCTCCGAATTTGGTCTGCTCTATACTTAGACCACAATCTGACCAGTTTTGCTTGAGCTGCAAGGGGCAGCTTGCTCATTGCTTTGCAAAACAACGGCAGAGCCATTTCCAGATATTCTGGGCTATGAAGATTGCCATTCTCCATAACGATAATAAACAAATTCAGATAGTTAGGATCCCGAGAGTATACATTATGGTAAGTCAAGTCACATTCCACATTAGGTGACAAGTACACAAGTGCATTTAAAAAGGCAGTTTCTATTTTTTCATTAGAAAGTAATCTATCGTAGACCCGCCTGACTGCTTCAATATCTACAGACACTTCATCAGGGCCTAATTTTTGGAGGTTATTATCTCCTTGTGTATTATCACCTATTCTTGACGATGAAGATGATGACGCGCCTGAATCTTCTTCCATAGCAGCAGCCGAACAGGCAGCTTTTTCCTTTTCATCTTCATCTTTGTCTTCATCCTTTCCTTGAAGAGACTTGAGCTCCTCCTTGGTGTGATGCTTGGCTTTTCGGAAACTCTGTACCAGTGCTTCAGCACTGGAAAATACTCTCCCAATCACTCGGATTAAAGGGGAATAATCCTCTTTCTCTCGACATAGTTCAAGAATTTCATATATCTTGTCTTCCGTTAGAAAAGTCACATCTATAACAAGAGAAAATATTATTATTAATTGTATTAAGATAAAAATTAAGAAGATACTGCTAACGTGCTTTACACGATAAAGATGATATTATATCATCAGCACATGTTAAAAAAAATAGTGTCAGCACTTTATAAATTCAAGACATACCTGACTTTCATTAGCACAATAAACCACAAACTCAGAATTCTTTTGTATACCATCTTATTTGTGGATGTTGATCAGAGAATACGCTGTGATAGAAAAACTGCCTTGCAGTTGATCGACTTCATCTTGCTTGATAGTATTAGATTGTCTAAAGAAGAGTAACTAGAGCAATCAGCAAGATGTTAAAACCTTAAAAGCCTAATAAAAAGGCTGTGTGAGACAATACCAATGTAAATCAGTACAGATAATGACACACAAGTCATTATGCTACCTGAACTGTATCAACTTTTTTCCAACAGACCACATAAATGATCCAACTTACAGATAAGATTTTTAAAAGACTCAGTAACTTATTTTGTTGAATATTAGAAATAAGAGTATTAGAAATAAATAAGAAATTTTATGAGTTCTGCAATAGTTTTTGCATAATACATACCTGAAAATCATTCAAAAAAAAACCACAACACAGGGTTATAAGTTTATGCTGCCTTCTAAATTACATGCACTGTTGGGCATGTGAGTTATTTGTTCGTATGAATAACAGCGGAACATACTCATCAACATGCTATTCAGATAGACAAGGTGGTTTACACATCAACAGTGTGGTACCTGTCTCCCATACTCTGTACTCATTTTAAGGTCCTCTTGCTAACCCAAATCTTTCTATCTAGTAACAAGTGGGAGAAAGCATTGGTTCCAGTTTTCTTCACTTCTCAAACAGCACCCACAAGGGCTCTTGCACCAGGTGATTTAAGAGTAAGATTACCACCAAACACACTGGATATACTGGTGTTGCTGATAGATACAGTGATGTGATGTGCGTTCTTAGATATGCAGAGATACTACTACGCAGACTGTTTTCATTCCATCTTAATCAGATTCTTCTAAACTGGTACACAGAATGAAAATCAAATTTGTAACCACCTCTGCAGACAGTAAGCCTATCACCTTTATATAGACAGTATACGTTGAAGTATTTTCAAACGTTATTGCCTGTATTAATGACTAGTTGGAATGAACATTAAATTAAAAATATAAACTAAATCATGCAGAGAGACGACCTATTGATTTTTTTGCAGAGCCTCATAACCATTCTTAGAGCACATGTAACATAAGCTTAATCTTTTCTGTCATGCTACTAAGATTGACTTCCATTAAATATGAAGACAGCAGAAAAAGCTTCAAAGCTAAGATCTGTCCTGTTGAATAAACAACAGCAATGAAGATATTATAAAAAGATTAAATCCTAGTACTCTTCCTATTTTTATTTTCTGTAGTGCATATATAAGCAGCGAACTTGCCTAAAATAAAATCTGCCTCTCAGATTGTTCAGTGCCATAACTTTTGAAAACAAGGACTACAGCCTCGAGTTCACTGACAAGAGCATATAAGTTATTCATAGCTCAAAACATTACTAATAAAGGTTGATAATTTAATAGTTACACATTTTAAATTCAGCAGGATTTCTCCAGTCATTCTTTTACATGCTTTTAATATTTAAGAAACAAACCATGTGCTACTTCTTGTTAAAATATTAAGTGTTACCACCAGCAGTTTCACAACAGCTTTAAGTCATATCCTGAGACCATGCTCCAACTGAACTGCTGTGTAAGGGCCTGTCCAATTTTACTTTATAGCAGTGATCAGCATGTGACATATCTACATCAGATACTGACTGGCTGGAGAACAAATCCAGCATAAGCAAAGGTTCCTTCTAACTCCAGTGACACATCTGAATACACGCAGTTATTTGTGCCTTCTCTCACACCTTCTACTACAACTAAGTCTTCTAACTATGTAAACATAGTTCCTTTCAAACCTTGCTCTCATTAATACCCATGACAAATCCATACACAAAGTCAAATTTTAGCAGGGATCCAAAAGCAGCACTTATCTTCCAATTATCAGTCTGTTCCCAACTCAATATACTGGCAATCAGAGCTGAAGACAAGTTTCCAGGCTAATTATAACACAAACTTTGAAATGGTTCTTTTTTTATTTCACTGCATTTCTGATCTATATTTGTTTGTTTTTAAAACAAATTCATTATTTCCCTTGCTTTTTCCTTCCTCTTTTCAGAATGTCATCTAAGCGATTAGTGACATGCTGGCTGACAGTCTCCAAATAAACCTTTCCTAAGAGATAGTAATTCTAGCATTTATCATTACAGAAAAGAATCATAGAATGTCCTGGTTTGAAAAGGACCACAATGATCATCTACTTTCAACCCCCTGCTATGTGCAGGGTCACCAACCACCAGACCAGGCTGCCCAGAGCCACATCCAGCCTGGCCTCGAATGCCTCCAGGAATGGGGCATCCACAGCCTCCTTGGGCAACCTGTTCCAGTGTGTCACCACCCTCTGAGTGAAAAAGATAATTTAAATAATTCCAAGAGGCAGTTCTTCTAAATTATTTGAAATTTCCAACCCTGTGTCAAGCATAAAAGCAAGCCACATATCCTTTTTCTCGGCTTTCTTAACTTTGAATGCAGTTTTCTCTGAAACATTTGTTGAAGGGTCTTTAAAAACAAACAAACAAACTTGAGTGCTAGATCACTATGTCCATACAGCTACAAAGACAGGTCAATATTTGTGATTTGACAATGCACAATGTTTGAGTCACTGCCTTAGACAACAGGCTGCCTTTGGATGGATTGCAAAGATTCTTACTTACCTATGTTGCAGAGAGATGGTAGGGCAGGGGTAAACAAATGAAAATCCTGTATGCACACATCTCCATTCAAATACACAAGACTAGGTCTGTTTTGTGGTTTGTCTCATAATGTGTCTCTTGCCAGTCTAACACTAACTAGCTCCCTTTTCCCCTCCCTACTGTTTGCATCTTTGCTTACTCAGATCATAGATAATTTGGGGACATATCCTCATATCAGCTAAAGATGAAATTAGTGTTACTACTGACTGCAGCATCTCAGGTCTCCTAGAACAGTTACATTTCACTGATGATTTCACAAGTCTTTCTCCAATTCTCTGCTGTGAATGGTTTCACATTCTGTACTTAAATTTTTTTCATTTGGTAGATGGATTTTTTTTTGGATGCTTATTTTTAGGCAACAATCAAGGTGTCAGCTTACATTGTGGTCTCTTTCTGTCTAGTGTTCTCTTACCTTGATTTGCAAATAAATAATCTGTCTAGTAGTCATAACTGGAAGGTCTGGCATTCAGTAAAAACACAGCTTCACACTAAAGGTTAACTTTTGTACAATCACAAGAAGGGTATGTTCTAAAGCCATGAATAGTCCAAAACAAATCTATGTAAGACAGTCATAGGTTTATCATCCCTATTTCTGCTGAAAAAAAAAAAGTCCACTAAACAAGCATACCATCCATCATTTTTATTCACCTGTTATAATTCCAGTGTTTAGAAATATCTGAAGTGCAACTCTTACATCTCATTTACTACAGAGCAATTACAAAATTGGTTAAAGTAGTCAAACTAATGCAGGCATACAACAGCACTTAAGCAAAATCTCCATGTTTGCAGTAATCTCAGAAGCAAATGAATGAATGAATTCATCTAAGACGACAGACCGATTTTGGAGATGCAGGGAAGATCCAGATTTGGAATCAGTGTTCAGCATTCATCCAGATATCTCACATGATCTGCAGTAAAATATTTAAAGGCTGAACACTGTATTTCACCTAAGAAGTCAGCAGAATACCACCACACTGGAATCTGCTGGTTTGTACTTGAGCATACTAAATGTGTTCTATTTTATAAGGATTCCAAAGTATCATCTTACCTTTGAAGTCATCTCTTGGGCCTTGCATTTCCTTCTTGTTCATTTTTCTGTCAGTGCAGGAATTGTTATGGGCACCCTTGGAGTTGTTTTCTAGGTAAGCTGAGCTCGTTCCTTTCTTGGAGGGATGAGGATCACAGAGTTTTGCATTAATCTTATAAAGCTCGAGGGCCTTAATGGCTGCTGCATTGTTATCCATACGGAGAAAAGTTGGACAGGAAGCACAAAATTCATTCGTGCAGGCTTCATTTCCACAGCCCTCAGTTAACTGGTGGTAGTAGCGCTCTATTAGATGCTTTGCAGCTGCTCGCTTCCTGTAGCAAACATTCAAACAGTAAGTACATGGATTAGTAGAGCTTTCACATACAAAGCTCATTCAAAGCATCAGCAAGGCAGAGATTAGTCAGGCACTGAAACACAAGATTTCTGAATCAGAGGGAACATCAGGAGATTTCTTTAAATGCAGGACTTTCATCTTGACAAATGCAAATGTATTTAACACAATTTCATTTATGGGTCCTCTGAAATAAAAAGGTAAATCTTGTTTACACACAGTTATCAGCTTTACATTCTAGTGTTACAGTGGACACAATCTCAACTGGTAAAAAAAAAAAAGAGCAGTTTAGATGCAAAGCAAGGCTGAAAGTAGAACAGAACTGGATTTACAGGTAATCAACTCTCTGATGCATAGAATTGAGAGGTACAGTTGCCATTGAGAGGATAGTTACATGACAAATAATCCAGGCATTTATTTAGTAATAGTATCAATAAATACTATACCAATAGGATATAAATCCTTTAAAATGTGTTTTCTCTTTTAATATACAAGATTCCAGATGATCACAGTTATCTGATATTAATCTGTTATTTAAAAGAGTAGGAAAAGCATTACTTGGTTAATTGAACTGCTGACAAAACCATGATTAAAGATGAGCTCAATAACCTCAGCTTAGTGAAGTATATGGCTCTTGAACAGCTATTTGCCAAATTCTCCCCTTCCCCCAAAGTAACATGTGGCAAGCACGTATTTTGAAGAATTACAACTGTATCTCTATATTACTCAATGTGCCTAGTACTGTACACACACAAAAACATCCAAATGGCCAATTACTAGAGCTACATGTTTACATGCAAATGGTAAATAAAACAACTGAACGCTACTGCTGATTAGGACAGAAAGAGCTACATCCAGCACCAAGAACACTGTATTTCACTGTATTTTCAAAACAAAAAAATTCCTACTATTTTAAGAAAGCTAGTTATGAAAGCAAGATATCAAATAGAAATAAAATTTCTAACATTTTGGAAATGTCTAATATATAGGTCTTGAATGCAAGTTTAGCAATATGCTACATGTCTAAAAGTTAGAAGGTGGGAAGAAGACATAAATCAGAAATTGTGACAACTGAAGTTGCTTTTTCCAGAAGTTGATGCATGCACAGATTCTCCATAGAACAAGTAAATAAGAACTGAAGCCTCAGACCTGCTGGTACTACTCAGTACCTGCTGTGCCTAGCCATTAACATGGGTTGGTCAAGTACTAGAGTTTCAAAACAGTGGCTTCAGAAGGGGAAGTGTCCTCATGTTCTTAAAGTAACTACTGAGGTGTATGTTATTCAACAACAACACCTCTGTTCCTTCTCTATGATCATGAGATCTGTAAGAGCAAAAGGGAAGAAAATCACTACTCCCGATGTCTACCTGACCTAAACTTTCCAAGAACAGAATAAAAAAGTTTCCATGGTGCCCCGAGGCAGAGTTGGAAGATCATAAAGTAGAGCAGCATCAACACCATCAAAGCCACTACTGCACAAAGGAATAGAATAGCTTTTTCCTGATCTGAGGAAAGAGTTCCAGCCTCTCCAGTTTTTATATATTTAGTCGGAGGCCTGTATCTGTGTGCACATGCTTACAGAATGGCAGTCACATCCACATGAGCATTTTAGTTTTATGCTCCCTTATCACACTTTTCTTTCATTTTATTTCTCCACTGCAGCCTACATGTAGGCCACAAGCTCTTTGCAGCACTGTTTTTCCTGACCTGTGTAAAAACCTACAAACATTATAAGGATTATTTCTCATAAGCTTCTCTACAAGTGGGCATACATTTTCACCTAGAGCAGCCAGAATTGTTACTCATATTAAATCCACTGTGAAAGGATGACCAATTCTCTACAAGAGAGAGCTTACATTTTCAAGCTGGATAAGTTGCTAAAGAAGCACGCACACCTTTCCAGCTCGTGTAACATTTTAACTATTTCAGTATATAAATGCTGATTACATTAACAGTATTTCATTACATCAAACACTATGTTTTAATCAGGTAATATCTGAAATACTAAGGCACAGCACTAAGATTAGAGTTGTCTCTAACAGCTGACATCTAAGGAGCTCTTTTTCTTTCCATATCCATCATGATGGAAAGCAAAAAGCACAGAAATGGCATTCATGAAAACTAAAAAAACACTGCAGCACCCTTTAAGCTCCTACACAGAGGTCTAGCAAAGGGTAACTAGTCCCTTACAAATTCAATGGTTAGTTTACATTAGCACACATACATAGCATAGCTCAGACTGCAGAGGCTGACTTACATGCACCACACTGCTGCTGACTATCTGATTTCAAAACTCACTTGTACGTGCACAGTTGTACACATTTTATGGACTGCCTTGAGGATAATTTCCCACACAGTAGGCCTTGTATAACCTTCTTAAGCAAGACACTATACTTTGGTGAGGGCAAGAGCCTACTGTAATATATGTAACTTCTTCCTTCCCCAAAGCCCAATAATTCCACAAGCACATTTTCCATTTTAAAAATTAATATTCACTGACTTACTTATGCAGTACTTAAAAAAAAATAAAAGAATCCCTATAGGCTGTTCTTTAACTAATAAAAAGCCAGATAAGTACTTCACATTTGTAATTGAAATGCTGCCAAATCTGTGGGGTAGCAAAGAAACTTCTACTACTGAGCCTCTACCTTCCTGGAGATGTTGGTAAAATAACATTTTGAAGCACAGAATGATTTAGATTGGGAAAAGCCTTCAATATCAAGTCCAGCTACCAACTTGGCATACCAAGTACTATCACTAAAACATGTCCATGTGGCTTATGGACACGCCTCATGAATACCTCCAAGGATCGGGACCTCCACTATTTCCCTGGCCAGTCTTTTCCAATGCTTGACCAACTCTCTCAGGGAAGATCTTCCAGATACCCAGTATAAACTTCTCCTGATACAACCTAAGGAAGTATCCCCGCATCCTAGCACTCGTCCCTGAGAAAAGAGATCAACATCCTCCTCCTTGCTGCAGCCTGTTTAGGCAGCTGTAAAGAGCGATGAGGTCTCCCCTCAGCCTCTTCTCCATGCTAAACAGCCCTAGTTCCCTCAGAGACTCCTCATCAGTCCCACTTTCAAGTTCCTTCTGCTGGATGTCTAAAAGACATATAAAACAAGGAACTGAATGTGGTGGTTCAAAAGTTTCAACGCAACACATCTAATTTGCATTTCTCAGATATCTTTAGCTAAATACAGAGAAATGCTACAAACATTTTTGCAACAGAGGAAAATAGAAAATTAATAGGTTGAGTAATTATACTACGCTTTGGAAATAAGAATACCTTCAGACCCAAAGCAGCTGAAATCTTACATACCAAAGTGTAGTTATGGACAGCCATCTTTGCGAATCTGAACGCTGGTTTTTGAGAGCGTCTTTCAAATTTCGCTTGTTTTCCTTCTTCTGCTTAATTAAGTGTAATAATAGCGATGCCTGAAGAGAATTTTCCAGTAAAAGCACTGCCCACAAAGCATGCCTGCTCATCAAAATGCCGGAAGTTCCACCCAGAGCCGGAACTGAGCACCACCCCTTGGTTCCAGTGATGTTATAATACCTTCTGCCCACTTCAGCCAAAGGCATCTCAGCTAATGTACGCCTGCAAACACACGCATGGAGCTCACATTTCCAAATCCTAATCCTTTCAGCATGATGTACCTCTCAGGCAGTGAAAACCCAATAGCTGGGTGCAGACTTTGACTCTCTGAGTGAAGTGGGGGTCACCCACCACACATGCTGGATCTGATGTGTCTCCAGGAATTGTGTGCTGAAAGAGTCATATGACTCTTTCATCTCAAGATGTTCATCTCAAGATGAACTTGAGAACAGAAGAGTCTCCTGGATATATGGAGCAATGCAGAGACAGCTAGAGAGATGGTGTCACTAACATGGTCAGAACATCCCTCAGTCTTACCTCACAAATTACTTTGTTACACTCTTATTTGAAGAGCATTCATTACTGCCATTTCTTTTGCTGATTATTAACTAACTCTAGGCTCAAGAAACACATTACTCCACAGTTTCATATCCAGGTTCCTAGCATTTCAATATTCAGTTAGCCAAGAGATTTAGAGGTGAATAAGGGATTAATTGCATCCTGGCTTTTCAACCCAAGCAATATCAGGAAAAATGCCTTATTTTTAAATTTTTCTGCAAAACAGATCTGAAGAGATTAAATAATTGTTTTGCAAAATCAATTATTAGACAATTACTATAAGCAATCATCAAAGGTAAATGAGACCAACTACAGACATGATACTTCTCTATGATTTAAATGCTATGCTTGAGTTTACAGAATTAATGCCTTTTCAAAAGATTGAGAAATACAATCTTAATAAAGAAGCCCATAAATGAATTTAACTACAAAGAAAAAGTAACTTGAATTACTATTAATAAATAGTAATAAATAAATAAATATGAATAAACTTAAGCTTAGGATTAAATAGAAACTTAGAGTGCCTTACTCTCTTTGAACAAATTTGTTATTGAAGACAAAAGAAGGAAGTACAGAAGTATCATCAGGTGTTAGATTCCTTTTTATAAGTTTAACTGCACAAAACATTTCAGTAGCTCTCCAGATTTTATGTTATTAAGTAAGGAGTCCTAAATACTAATACTCTGTACTAGCTGCAAGGTCAAGAAAAGATCAATTCCATCCTTAATGGAAAGAAGTGAAACAATAAGCATACTTGCAGGAGGCCTTCGGTCTGTCTCATATTCAGAAGAAAACAAAGTTTTATCAAATATTAAGCAAAATACACTATTTACTATATTTTGTGTTGTTTTCCCTCTGTCAAAAACGTCCTGACATTCCAAGCAAATATAGTTAACCAGATTAAACTCCATGTTGTACTGTAAAAGCTCAAATGTGTAAGGTATGATATTTAAACAGTATTTCACAGCCCTCCAACTGCAACTCACTAACTCACTAACAATAAAACATATAGACTGTTTTCTGAGATGCTGATTCTAATCACCTCCTTCTAGCCACTGCTGTATTCTAGTAGCAAATTTGATCAAAAATAAACTACTTTACAAAAAATATTTAGAAGACTGACTATTGCAACATACATCTAACCTACAGAGAAGGGACTTAACTGCTCATCATCATGTACTCTCCTTGCACAACTCCAAAGAAAGAGGCCAAGTACAGTAAACAGAACATCACACAACCCTATTTTCAAGTTAAAAAGTTTCTGGAATTTTTACTAAGTTTGGTTTCATGGCAGAATTCTTTTACTGAGTTCATTCTATTTGACACTGTCCTAAAACAGCGACCATGGTCACACAGATACTAACTGCAGGTAACATGGGATTGAAGACCTAAGCAAACACTTCAGCTCTTATTTTAAGAACAATCTAGCATCTACGGATTAGAAAGCTTCAGCTTATGCAAATCCAGCTCTCCTCTCAGCTATGAGGAAAATAATTTAAGGCATTCCATGTCTAAAACCCTCTAGGGTAGCACTGGTATGATGAAACACTAATACAGTCACAGTTCATATTTGCAATGGCTATTAATCATTTTTCTGGCATATTTTGGGAGGCTGAAGAATTTTCCTTTTGTCATTCTTTTAGGGAAATGAACCAGCTACAAAACCTACCCCAATGTCAGATGACTATGCATTACATCTAACTGGCAACACTTTAAGAGGGGCAGTGATATCTGATGGCTTCAAAACCAAACAGACATTTTAAAGTTTAAAGCAAACCATCCACAAGACCAGAAAGAAAGCTAAATTATAGAAAACTATCATATCAGAATACCCAAGCCTTGCGCATGACAAATGACAACATATGACAGGCAGTGAAAATACATGAACTTAAGAGCTGTCAATTTATTCTTAAAGTAAATGAACAAAATTTAGTCCTAAATAGGTTTTTAGAATGCTGCACTAATCAATGCCAGATATGACTGCAGTTCTGTAGCAGGAGCAGACAGCAGAAGGTGCTGAAGTTGAGAATGCAAGAACTTGAATGGATGCTAAGGGAAAAAAAAAACATAAAAAAATAAGACTCTGAGCTAACACCAAGAGGTTCATTAGGCAAAAGGAGAACTTGAAAAGCTTGGGATAAGTAAGACACTCATTCATGTAAGAATTTGCTGCATCAGTCTGAAAGACTTGGATTTTCTTTTCATTAACACACGTGAAATGCATGACTATGCTCCTGGTATGGAGCCTTGCAATGCAAAATACAAACAAATAAAGCAATTATATCAGCCAACCAGAGTAAAACAACTTGTTATTGTGCAAATAGAATGCTTCCATAAATCCCTGCAGTCACCAATAAATTAGAGGCATATAAATAACATGGTTACTATTTTAGCAACACTGCAGGCCTGCAAGTCAAACTGTTATTCAGCATGCCATTCCACCTTATGCAAAGAGCAACTATGCAGTGGGATTGCAGAAATTCTCTGCAACTGGTGACATATACATCACACCACATCTTGATATAGTCCTAAAAACTTTTAAGTGTACTATGTATTGAGGCTGTATATGAGTAGTAGGTATACATGGATCCCTATAGCTTGACTGGGTAGTGTAAATTTTAGACACAAAACCTACGCAGTCAGAGCAAGTCTGATCATCATTCTGCACACACAAAACAAAAAACACCTCAGCTTTTATAGAAAAGCTGCAGATGTTAATTTTTCAGGTCCTGTTTTAGGGAGTAAAACATATTGTCAAATTGCTAGAAGAGAAATATAGTTGGATTGGCTCTTCTTTCTGATTTATCCCCCGTCTTTACATTCATTTCATTTCACACCTGTCAGGGTCCTCATTACCTTACTTATTTGTTTTTGCAGTGGGTAAAAAACAGCAGATCAACTGATAACGTCCAGGGAAGGCTACAGCCAAACAATTGCTTAGGCCAGGAAAACAGAGAACCATAACCCAATTTGCCCCAGGATCACTAAAATAGGCTGCTACATCAGCAGAAGACATTATGGCAGAGCCTTTGCCCTGCAAACCTCTGGCTGACACAGCTGTCAGTTACCTCACAAAACCTGTACTCTTATGCAAACAGCACTTCTGGTGCAGGTTCGCATGAAAGAGGGCAAGCAAACTTGCCATCCTAGGAGAAATACTCTTCTTTGTACAAGAAAAGAATTTCCTCCAGTGAATTTCTAAAACTGCATAGGGAAAGCATTCTTTGTTTCTTTTTCATCCATTAGGTAATGCAGTGCAATGTAAAGCAGCCCGCCTCAGCTTTGTCCCCTCTAGGTTGGGAAGCTACAGCAATACACTATGTCCATAATCTGCAAGATACCCAACCCATGATGTGTAGAATGCTAGACCAATTGAGGGAAGGCTGGGGAGGAGACAGTTGACTTAAGGCCACAGAAAATGTCTGTGGCAGAAGCAAAATTAACCCAAATCTTTTGAAGCCTAGGACAGTATGCTAACAAATGGGATACACTCCCTCTATTATTTCAGAAGTTCTGTTCTTAGCCAGAAGAGCAATGTTTGTGGTTTCCCTATTTGAATTTTAGCACAGGATGGTTTGAATAGCTAGAAAAGAATCTTTGTTTGCTAATGCACAGAAAAATGAAGCCTCAAGTAACTTCTATCTTTTTAAAAATGGTCCTCTCATTCCCACAACCTTTTTTTTTTTTTTTTTTTTCCCAAGTTTGGAATTGAAATGAACGTTTCAGCCAAATACAATCTTGCTTCTAGTTAATCTTGGCTTCTGGGTAATGAAGATAGACCAAAACAAGGCTCTAAACTGCTAGGGAGATGCTAGATGAATACTGTTAATGAAAAGAAATTAGTTTGCTGTTTTTAAGAGTATTTAGCATATGAATTTGCCTAATCAAATCAGACTAGTTTTTTTTTCCTTATGCTAGCAATTGATCTGCCTCAATAGATACTAGCAGATACCATGCCTTAGTACCTTCAATTCCACAAATGATATTAGTGAGTAGCATGTAGAAATTACACCCTACTGCCACATCTGAGTATAGACATGCAGATTTTTGACACTTATGCTACCATCTACTGGTTCATGTTAAAATAAACTCTTGAGCTCTCCCTTCAACCCATTCACCTCCAAAAAAAAAAACAAAAAACCACAGTATTTACAAAATCATTTTTCCATAGTGCAATATGAGTTTGAAATTTTGCAATGTGATACCATATTTCCACTCATCTTCTGAGGTACAAAAGTAACTCTTATGCCCAAATATTCAAAACATTTTTAAACAAGATACACTGAACTCATCCACTCGGTACTTACATTCGGCTAGTTTCAATGTTTTCAGAGTGAGGTTCTCCTGGTGATCTGCAAATACAGACGAAGTCTTAAGTACTGTTTGTTATTTTAAGTCATAACAATATGAAAAGTTATGAGGAGGGCAAAGCGATTAACAATGGTAATTATATCATTTAGAAGCATCAGCTTTCCTGCACTTGCACATTTAACTTGTTTGACCAAACTCTAGAAACTATAACATAAATCTGAGAACACAGTCAAATCAAAGGACAGCATTTTTTCCCCACAGCTTATGCAGCAGCAACCACCAGAGGAGACTTCTGTTGGCAGTACTTCCTTATTCAGGTTGCATGATGCAGCAGTTCTGAGCTAATTCCTCGTAACCACTTCTGTAACCAAAAGGTATATTCAAAGTTTACCAGTGATCAACAGCTGAACTTTAAAGATGCTGCAGCTCAGAAGTAGGCTTCAACATTCTCTAAGCAAATTTCTTGTCTCTCATTACTCAGATTTATGTATGTAACTTCACAGAACATAAGAGTTACAGTTTCCTATTTCTTCATTCCAATCAACAGGTCAGCCAGTAATTTTGAGAATTAGATGTTATTGCCTGGCATTTGTACCTACCATTTTAACTTAATATAAAGTTGTTTAAGGGGTATAGTTCCATATTCACTTAAGACAGCCAAATTACAGGTGCCTCACTCCTTATTCCCATCTTGTTCTTTAACTTCCTGAATCAGCACTAGCATAATTTATTTTTAAGACATTAATTTTTATCCTTCTGGGCTCCCCCCAATCCAGTGAGACTTCTAAGCCAGAAGGCAAGGCAGTACAAATACAGGTTTGACTTCAACCATCTTAAGCTTCTTTTCAGTAATCTTGTGAACTGTTCTCAACTTTCATTGTGGTAGATTTTGGTACAGTTGACTGGAACTGTTGAATTGGATATATTGCGTAGGAGTAGAAATACAGCACAGTCATTACAGCAACACTTGGCAGCTTACATGAACAAAAATGTCTTTTGTGACAGAACTTTCTCAAAACAGAAGTGAGCTAATATCTGTAAATATAACTCACTCATTTTGTAGGTTTCAGCCAAGTTTGCTAGGGGACTTCGGTTAGCACAGCTAATGTTCTCAGTATTCTCTACTAAAATCTCAGTTCCTTTACTGACACACCAGATCTTACCAACTTTCTAGAATTTACCAAGCTGTACTATGTTAACAGATGCAATGCCTAGAAAGCATTTCTGGCACACAATTTTAAATTCCTAAGCTAACTGGATACGATGCAGTGACAAATGATAAAGAACACAGGAAGTTATTTGTTTACATTTCACTAAGTTACAAAATTCAACTGACACTAGGAATGGAACTCAACTTACTATCCAACGAAGTATATGCTCATGCTTAGAATGCACATATCGTCCAGCTAAAAAAGAAGTTAGAGAAACAACCCAGCCTGAAAATGTGATCTTATTCCCTCAAAATGATCCTTACCTTACTTATTCAAACTCAGAACTCACAAAAGAGCTGCAGTAGAGAAATAATGCTCAACAGCAAAACAAATGAAAGTTTAATCTCCCCTTTGACTCTCCAAACCAAGTCCCCAGATACTTAACAAAGAAGAGCAAACCTCTTCCTAATTATTCGCCTAAATATACAAATGCTTGAAGCCATCCAATTTGAGGAGTGAAGGAGAGAAGCGCCTATCTTCATATAAGCTAGCTCCTCTATTAACATGCATGACTTCAGAAACCGAGAACACAGAGCCAATTTGGAAGTTTGAGGCAGTTGTTTTCTGTTTTACTCGTATGCAGTGTAACCCAATGAAGCTACAGATAATGGCAATGCTTCAAGTTGCTATGAAAATACACACGAAACAGTTCTGTCAAGAAGAGGATTAGTCACTTTGATCCTTTAAAAAAACAATATGAAAAATTACAGAAAAGAACAGCAGATTAGCATCTAAACCTAATGTTGTAAAGAAAAAACTAGATGGCAGTCTGCAGTGCAGACAAGTAAACAACGTATCAGTATATCCAATGTCTTTTCCTACTCCTATAGTTTATGTATAATATATGAGAAGACAAAGTTCCAGGAAAGTTCAGGGGAAAAAAAGACTAGCTGAGTTTAAAAAAGTTTGGTCCTCTGAGGTAAGTGGTTCAACAGGAAAAGGATTCAAATTCCTTCAGATTATCTTTTGCTGTAACGTGAGCAGATGGACCATAAGAGTGACTTGCAGAAATTTTAATCCACTCAATAAATGGATTTTAACAGGTTTCAGATGACAATGTAAGCAACAAATATGATGGGCTTTCAATACTCATTAAAACAATATGCAAGACCAATCTATTTACAGCAATTGTACTTATTTGTTGAGAAGCTGTTAATAGTAACTGTTCACAAACAGGAAACCTTTATTCTTCTAGGCAGGCAATAATACTGAAAACAACTATATGGCACGACAAATCTGAAACAAGTTCTGTTCAAAGAAAAAATCTCAGAGCAAACACTCTCACAAATCCAGCTCTGAGTAAGATCGTAGAAACTGATCAAGACAATTAATCTGAATGCTGCGGTATGAGCTAGCAAATTCAGGTGGTGGCTCACTTCCAACAACACAGGGAGCAACTTCTCCATTCTGCAAGCCCTTCCTTCTACCTCCACTGTAACTCCTTAGGAGAGAAAAGTAAACGTATGCCAGTCTACAAATTTTTTTTATCATCAATCATTCTGGACAAATACTTAAAATAAACTGAGCAAATTGCTTAAATTAGTACATTAAACAATTTAAACAGAATTTAGTACTATAGTAAAGTCAGAGATATTTAAGTGATGGTTTTGCTCTTAAGAGGAGCACAATGGAGCACTGCAGAGCTTGCAATTTAAAAAGCAGGCAGGGACAAGACAAGTGAGCTTTGAAATCACTCTAAGTAAAAGTGTAAGTCAATTTTGCCATCTGACTTATAAATAATATATCTTAGTACTGTCTACAAAATTAACTTCATGTCAAACAAATTCAAATCTTAGAACAAATATTATTTTAACAATTACCTTGAGAAACAACACAATACGTCTTGATCTTACCTTTTACAAGCTGTGGCCATTCGGTGACATCAGGGTGATCACAATTTTGAGTCACTGATTAAAAACAGTTGTCACACACCAGTCCTGTGTCACGTTGGGCTAAGCATGAGCTTAACAACTCTAAATAAGTAAAAATAATTTAGTTAAAAGTCCTTACGAACTATTTTCAGCCAGCCCACTGAACAAAAACACAGATGCTAAGAATTACTGCAAAATAAAGACCTCAGAAAAATCTTGTTCAAACCTTTTAGATAGCACTATACTGAATACTGTATACTGAATGCAGTGAAGCCTGAATACTTCACTACAGTAATCACAACTGGCAAAACTGAAAATCAACTTATTTTTAATCTCTCTAAAAAGAAAGAAAAAACAACAAAAACGCCCCACATCTCTTGAACCAGTGGAAAGCACCTGATGTCAAGACAAAAAGCATTTAAAGATTTGGATGTATATAAACATGGTTCTAACTACAATAGGTTCTAACTACAATAACATTTGATAAATTGTTTCCCTTCTACAACTGAATTAGTACTAGCTCTTTACAGAGGTTCTGTGTTTGAAAGGGAAGAAAAAGTAACTTATGCTCTGTTGTATTGCTTTCCCCCAAATGAAGCTGTTTTAAATGAACAAGTTTTGCCACTGGTGGCCCATCGTTTATGTTATTTGCTCCATTTACATTGCACGGACTCTCCTCTCTCCTCTATGTTTTCAGAAGCGTATTTTACCTGTCAATTCTTTCCTGTGATCTGGCTCCACTGGTTTAAATTGAAGACTTGGTCCTTTACTTTGTCACTCAGGTGGCAGCCAATGATCACTCAGCAATACTCGGGCCCAGAGCGCTATGGGACCACCCCAGCTGATTACTTCCATGGCTGAAAAGGAACCAATTAGTCTCTTACCTATTACTATTATCTACTCTATAGTTAACTGATAAAATATTTCCAAACATAAACCTCAACACTCAGTATCACCCCATTCTCTCTCCCACCCAAGCTCTATCACTCAACAGATTGCAAAGAGGCCTCTGATGCAGTCAGATCAAACAGCACAACTTACTTTCTGTTGATAAGAAGTTTTTAATTAAATGGAAACACCATTACTGTATTTAGTAAACAAAGGCATTTGTCTCTAAACAGCCTATAGCAATACAGATCTCTGTCCAGCATCCGAAAAAAAGAGTTTTATTTCTGTGGCTCTAACAGGTGAATATCCACATTTTTAGGTTGTTATGCAGCAAGGTACACAAAAGCTAAGGAGGCACTCAGACCAACTCTCTACATCTGTAGTCATCGTGATCCCATGCAAATACTAACAGCACATCCTATAGCATGTTTCAGCAAACAAAGCTTTTGTGCTTCAGTCCAACATATCGCAAGTCTTTCAGTAAGGTCTTCAGTCTGACAGAGCAACCAAGAACTCTCACTGCTAATTTGCATCTAATGACTCATCTAAGATGAAATGGCTGAACAGGTCCTACAGTTTTCTAAAGTTTGTCTGAAAAGCTGCTGACTTTTGCTATTCTATTACAACTTGCAACTCTGCTACAGGCTGCATCGCTAAAATGAAGTGAAATTTACATTATTTTTGAAATAAGGCTTTTCAATCAGGTGCGTTTCTTGACACAAGAAATATCATTTTAATTATGAAGTCAGTAGTACTAGAAACTTCAGAAGTGCAGCTGATTTAAATGAAAAAAGCAAGCCAATTGAAAATCTCCAACATAGAACAGAGGTTCTTTAGTAAAACAGAGTTATGGACGTAAATTGTCAAAGCTAGAGTCAAATAACTGAGTCAATGGTAGGAGCACAGTGCAACAGAAAAAAGTCAATGGGAATGGTTTCTCCTCCATCAAAAATCAAGTGACAGATCAAAGATTTTCAAATTAACAGCTGTGGACTATCAACTGCAAACAAAAGCTAATAGCCAAAAAAAAAGCCACCAGAGAAAGCAACACAAAACTAAGAAGCCTTAAAAGCACTGTTTTATGGCATTATGATAGTTTGATGATATCTACTTTTATGCAAACCTTAGCTTTAAAGAAACAGAAGTCCATTATAGGGCAGTGCTTTATTCTCAAGTTAAATCTTATTTCTTGCTGCTTTCTGAAGAATTGGTGTGAAATGGCTCTGTAAAAATGCACTTAGAAATTAAAAATAATCTCTTTACACAAGTAACTTTCAGTACAATAGTGAAAGAGGACAGTGGTGTAGTCTCTAATTCCTCATTTATTACGAAGAAACCTGCATTTTGCCTGGTTGCTCTAAGTAGCTAATACCTTAGTTATGTTCTATGGAATTGGAAGCACATAAGAATAACAAGCCAATTGCAATGTTAGTAAAATTAAAGTTCTCCCAAGCGTGTTTTGCATTCATGACCTCTCCCATATGGTTGTGAAGGAACGCATGAAGCCCTGGTGCTGGATTCAAAACCATCAGATTTTGGACTGCTAAAGAATATACTCTGAAGTGATAACTCCACAGCCATGGGCAAGGCAAGTCTGTGACCAGGCCTGACAGAGATCCAACTGTTAGACAACACAGCACCAAGCATGGAATTTACAGCCCCCATATTAAGCAAAACAGTGTCCAAACTAGCAAGAAACTCACTAAGTTGTTGTTAACTCATCTAAATTTTGTAATCAAATCTAGATCTATAAAGTAAACTTATCATGGATCAAGACACTGAATCTTGGAGCTGCAACCCTTTTTAATCTGTTAAATGATACCTTAAGACTGAATTTACTGTACTGAAATCTAAAAATCTCATGCTCCATTTCAACAGTATGGATACCAGCAGCAAGAACCCTTAACTGATCACTTCTGGCCAGCAGGGAGAGGGAGGTGACTGCCTCCCTCTACTCAGCTCTTGCGAGGCCCCACCTGAAGTAATGCGTGTTCTTGGAGCAGGTCCAGAGGAGGGCCACTAAGATGATTAGAAGGCTGGAGCACCTCTCCTATGAGGAAAGGTTGAGGGAACTGGGATGGTTTTGCTTGCAGAAGAGAAGGCTCTGGTGAGACCTCATTGTGGCCTTCCAACACTTGAAGGAAACATATGAACAGGATGGGGAATGGCTGTTTACGAGAGTGGATAGTGATAGGACAAGAGGAAATGGTCTTAAACTGAGACAGGGGAGGTTTAGGTTAGATATTAGGAGGAAGTTTTTCACTCAGAGGGTGGCGATGCACTGGAACAGGTTGCCCAAGGAGGTTGTGGATGCCCCATCCCTGGAGGCATTCGAGGCCAGGCTGGATGTGGCTCTGGGCAGCCTGGTCTGGTGGTTGGCAACCCTGCAGGGGGGTTGAAACTGGATAATCATTGTGGTCCTTTTCAACCCAGGCCATTCTATGATCCTATCTCCTTTCTCATCCCAGCTTCCCCAGGTAAAGTTGCTGCCAGTCCTGTGGGACTGGATACGACTAGCCAGAAGTCTCTAGCACAGATGAAATTCATCTTTCTAAAACCTTACTTGTTTATCCATCTGCAGAGTGCTGCCTGTGGCAGCAAGAGATCAGAACATTAAAACGTGGGGTGAGTGTGAAGGAGACCGCCTAATGCAGAATACAGTGTCTGAACGCAGGACATTTTGACTGCTGGATCCATACAAGGAAGAAAAATTGGTAAAAGAGTCAAAGGACTCAACTTGATTAGGAAAGGGGAGACTAATATAATGGAAAAAATGCATTGTGAAAAAGAAAACTGAGGTACAGCAGGTATTCATCTGTCATAGGTATTCCTTTACAAAAATTTCTGGATATAACTTATCTTCCAGAAGGTACCGTTCTAAAAACAGCTCCACAGCAAATATTTATTCTTAAAGCAGAATGTCTCAAAAATGATTTCTTCAGACTTTACTGTCATGATTAAAATTGCTTACAGTTTAGTCTTTCACAAACATATAGGGCAGCTGAAGGTAACAAGCAAAGTTCATGTCTGTGCAATATATCCCAGAAACTTGAGATGGCTGCTGGAGGCTCTTTGGGATGGGGTATGCTCCGATACACATGCATCTATAGCTGCCTAACAACTATTTACAAGAGGTGCATTGAACCAGGACTGCAACAATCTATATTATAATTAACCAATACAATGGACAAGAACCATACCCTTAAACCATGTATATGGCATAGAGTAGCCATCATCAAGAGCAAATAGGATGAATAATGTTTACACAGTACTTGGAGACAACATCCATTTATAAAAAGTAGAAAAGATACAGCTCCTCTGAAAGGAACACTATCAAATGAAAGGGAGGGAGGAAGGAAATGAATAATGAGCCAGTGAAAGCAAGCAATTGGAAACCATGTTCAGATGCTTCAGAAGTGGCTAAATAGCAACCTGGTTGCACAGCCTGATGAGATCTTCTCATCAAGTACTTCCTTGAACCTTTAATTCTGGAATCACAAACATTACAGTTGGACTAGATGATCCTGTAGATCCTTTTCAACCTTGTAATTCTATGAGTCTATGAGCCAAGGTGAGGCTCCCAACTTCAACAAACAGAATCCAAAGCTACACCACGGAGAACACAAGTACGTATTCATCAGCAAGTCAGTCCAAAATAACTTCCAGCTACCAATCAGTGTAAATTAAAAGTTTTCGCCTCTACAGATTTTCTGAATCTACTATTCTTCCTACATCATTTATCCTATAGGTGTCCATATGCATATCTGGTGGCTGACACTCAGTATCTGAAGTCTAGGAAAGCCTTTGAACTGAGGAACACCTGTGACTGATAGCTAAACGGACCCATGTGCTCAGAAGCAGCATTTTTAAGAATCTGTTCTCTTTAGAAAACAGTTTCAGTTTCCTCCTGATTAAGCTTAATATTCAACCTTTAAGACCATCTTTTTAAAAGATATTAATGAAAAAGAAGGTGATTTACCAGTACAGAAAAGTACCAAGTTCCTTAATTTCCAGTGCAGGAATTTTACTTGCTCTAATTTAAAATGATCATCTCCCTCTGGAAACCACCTCTCAAGATCACTTTTATATGTTTACTGAAGAATCCCTCCGAATCCTCCAAGAACGAATGCCCTTCTCCAAACTGATCCATTTCCAAAATGACTTTGAGTAGCATGATGAAGTGGACAGTCATCATCCATACAGTGAAAGGTGCCCTTGTACTACCATAGCTAGCTTAACACTCCGCCAAAAAGGAAAATGCATAATAGGAAAGCTGGCCATTTATCATGATCCCCAGAGGTTCCTTCCAACCCCTACAATCCTGTGATTCTGTCTTAAGACTGATTCACCAAGTGTCCTGAAAGAAACTGCAGAATATCCTCCATATTTCTAAGTTCAGTCTTAACTGTAACCTGCAGAAAAATAACAGTAAGGTTGGAAACGTCAATTCCTTTTGTTGCTTGCTTGTTTTTACCAACACAGAAAGCATGGAAAGATGTAAGATTCCAGAACTTCTATTTACGAAACTCTCTGTAGGTTGAATTATCAACTGCCTTAAAGTAAAATCAAATACATGAATAAAATCTAATCACATAAAATCTAGTGGAGCAACCAAAAACAACAAAAAACAGCAGTAAGGCATGGTTTTTTTTCCGTTTTTCTTTTTGTTTGTTTGGTTTTTACTACTTCACAAGCCAAACTCATTCATTTACAATAATAGCAGATAAATACAAACCAACATGGCTGGAAAACAAAAATAATGGGGTATCCTGGAAAACATCAATCAAAGTGACTACAACAGTCACAACTGATTAGTAAATACACATATGCTCCCTGTATTACAGCTGAAAGAAACACCATCCACAAACAGTTCCTGGATAGGTATTCATCTACACAAAGTACTTCAGACACGTGCAAAACTTGAGCCTAATTCTCCAATTACTCAATATTCTTCCACGCCATTCCAGAAGTAGCAGAAAAGAGCTGTGAAGTAAGCATGAAAACAGGAGAAAGTGCCTTGTGATGAGTTAATGAAGAGTTGATTAAGATGACTGATGAGAATACTGGAAAAAAACTAAGTCTTTTTATAACAGAGAATGAACACACACACAAAAAAAAAAGATACTCCAACTGAAAGAAAACACACATATAAAAAAAATATGACTAGAAACTAAGGGTTGAAAAACTCAGTAGAAACACAAGCACACAGGATAACAAGTAACTATTTAGAGAGAGGATCTGAATTTGCTATGATCTTCAAATTAAGGCCAATTACTATTCCTGAATCTACACTTTAGCGAAAACACAAACTACTGAGTTTAATAAAGGCAGAATTTGGTGCACCTAGTAAACCTCCAAATACAGAAATCAGATACAAACTTTTATATAAGCTTCATTTTCTGGTATCTGCGTACCTACTATGCCTTGGCTATGATACCCACAAATAACACAGTGATAGAAAGTGGCCAAGTGTTTGCTACCATTTTTCTTTCTAAAGCTAAAGACTTCTCATTTTCTTTGTTTCTCCTGATCTCTACAACAGTCTCCACAACTCTGGACAGTAGATTTCCACCCCTGGCATCCCCCAACATTTTTTTTTGTCTGAGGTTTTTTTTTGTTTTTGTTTTTTTAAGATTATAGATACACTTTATTCCTCCTTGCAAAAGAGGAAAGATCTGCAATTACATTTAGCTACTAAATTTTTCACTTGGACTATAGCTAATTTTTCCTCTGCTCCCTTGCTCCATCTCTGAAAAACTATTTATTTCTATTTCAGCTATATCTACTACTTCAGGCTCCCTCCAAAATTACACACTTTTGAATGGAAAGGTTCTCCTACATCAGAAAGTGAAATACAATCACCTATTTAAATTTGTTTTGGTAGCTCTCCATTTACTGGGTAGGTATCAAGTTATCTTCCAAACAGCTAAGTTTTACAGCTTCACTTCAGCTTAAATATTTAAACTTTTATTCCACCTATCTTTTTTGCTTATGCCTGGTTATTTTGCTTTCTTTTTCCACCCACTCATCACATGGAGCCTCTCATGTAAAGCACCTTTCTGTTCACCAAATTCTTCAGTGACACCAGCATGTTTGTTTATACGTAGGTTGCATTAAACCCAAACAATCATGCAGTTCTGTAGCACAACACTCAGTTTTTCTGATGTTCTGTTGTTCTGATGTTCATTAATTGCACATTGTGGTGGATTAGAGGGGGATTCTTGTTCATCAGCTTACAAAGTGTGCATCATTACAAAGACTACATGAACACGTACAGCAGCAAATAGTCACAGTTCAGAAGAAAGCAGCCAGCAGAGATAATTGCAAAGAAATAACAGCTTAAGTCTGAAAGAGGGCTGTCATACACACAACTGGTATTGAAACTGGAGAGTGAGAAGCAGGTGGGTGATCCCACTGGTGCTGTGGGTGCAAAGTGAATGCACGCTACCTGCCCAATGCCTGCTGGAGTACAGGACCAATCTACAGAATTATCATAGCCCAGATGTTCCTGAGAGAACGCTACTACTTATATATATTTTTTTAGGGTTTTTTTTTTTTTTTTTAAGACTTACAGTTTTTTAATTAACACACGCCACAGTTAAAGTTTCAGTTTAGAATTAATCATTTTTAACTCCCACGAAACAGAACTTTGCAGAAAAAAGAGACAGCCAACAGTCCTTCCACAAGGCTGGGATTTTAGAACTTTTTTTTTTTTTTTTTTACTATTTTTTCATGTTAGATATCGTCAAAAAAGAATCTAGACACAAATATACAGGTATAAAACTTGTATCAGGAGTTAAATTCTTCCCAGTACTTAAAGTGTTTTTTTAAAAAAAGCATCTTCATAGCTTAGATGTAATCGTTGAAGTAACTCCATATGATTTTGTGTTAACATATATTTGATAATCTAGAAAAATCTGAACGCTAATATTATTTTTTTCTGAATGCAGAAATTCAGAAAGTTAAAAGAAAAAAGTCACTATGCATCAAGAACACTATGGTACTTGAGCCACTATTGAATGGTGCAGGCTTTCTCTAATGCTGGACTACTGCAGTATAAGGTTAGAAAACAGGAACAAGAGTAACTACAAGGTATAGTTTGATTTTATTAAAATGCATGCACAGTTTTAAGCTTGCAGGATGCTTAAGAGCCCAGACAAAGAGAGAGACCACATGGCACAGGCCGACGTTAGAGAAGGTTACTTTTCTGAGTTTCCAAACATCCCAATTTGTATATTTTGCTTACACTGATGTTTGATTAACTTTCCTACTAGTTCTAAGTCTATTTTGCAAGTTATATTTAAAAAGTGTAGAAGTCTGACTATAAACGTGTACAGCAGCATGGAAAAAGCCTTCAGGAACAGCACCAGGTCTTATCCAATCAAGGAGAAATAGCTGAATTATAGTAGCATAATGCTGAGCTTGTATAACAAATTAAAAGGGAATTCATCAATGTTGCATCTTTATTTTCTCCAAGAATATCAAGTAACACAGCTATCCAAAGAAACTAAACCTAATAGACATTAAAGTTGAAAAAATATGGGAAAAATGAATGCTTGTGCTTTCCTGAATTTATTTTCAACTTGTTTAAATCAGTGAAGTATAATAATTATTATTAGTCATAATGCATACATACAATAGAAGTGAAAACATAGACATACCATATCTTTCCAGAGCTGCAGAAACTTCTACTTCCCAATTCTAAAACGGACTTCTACAGTTCCTGTACCTATAATGCAAAACATTACATGTCAGTTTTTGCACCATGTGCAACTCACTGTTGCTTCAAAGTGATATAAATGAGAACAGTTCGATTAGTCACAAGTTTACAATGAAATGAAACACAGGACTTTCAATACCAGCCAGAGCAGAAAACGCTTAGTTATGTCAGGGAAACTGCAAAAGCTGAACATCCACACACACTGTTCCCTATTCTTTCCTCTCTAGTGATGCAACACAGTTTTATAATTCCATTCATCCACTTTATTATAAATACCCATTTCCTTCTAGAAGATTCTGGCAAGGTTTCTCTCCTGCTCCACCCTACCCCACCCCCACCCATTTTTTTTCCTCTTAAAAAAAATAGTACTTTCTAAATTAAAGACATCAGTATATTGAAAATAATAATAATAAAAACGCTTTCAAAAGTCACAAACAGAACCACACCTTGGTCCTGGCTGCACAGAACTGCTGAAGTTTGGTAAGCATTTCTATAAAAAGTTCATTTTTAGAAAAGCTATAATAAATAAGGAACTCAGGCCTAAACATACCCTGAATATTGTTAACGAGCAACTAACAAGCAGAGTACAGCTAATGTGAGGGGTGTAAGTTACATAGAAATAGCCATATTAACTAAAGAAAACTGATATTTACTTTTTGAAAACTTACTTATTTGGTTCAAAGTATCCTTTCACTATCACAAAGATAAATACTTAATTTGATGATTCTAAAGCTCTATTAAGAGCAAATAAATCCAGTGTAGCTGATTCAGTCTGATTTCCAACTTAGATCAGTGTTCCCATGAAGGAAGCCCTGATCCGGTTACCTTAAAGAGTACACATTCAATTTTGTCTTAATGATGTGAAATGACAGAGCACCCAAGGCCCAGTTCTGCTCTGGGGATACAAAAAGAACGGATAGGAACATCTGTGCCAGTTCAGCTCCACAGCACTGCCAGGCTGTGCATAACTATGCATTTCTATATTTCCAGAAGAAAAAAGAAACTACACGGAGCAGTCTACCTGTTCAACGCAGCAAAATTCCTATTTCAACACAAAGATACGGTAATTACATGGATTTATATATAGTCAGGGTGAACAACAAACCCATAGAATTGCGTCAATAAAACTTTACTACCACTCATAAGAATAAATTTATCCAAAGAGTGAGAGAACGCAACATGATTTTCCTGATGGGAGGAGGTACTACCAATAGCAGACATCACAAAGAATAATTATTCGTTCACAGGGAAGCCACCAAGCAAACTCTGCTACAAACATAAACAGTGTTTTCACATCTCACACCACAGGACTTCCAGCTTATATTGTAATGTATGCAAATTTTGTCATGTACACACACTTGTACATGCAGAGCAATGCTATCTATATGTAATTAACCGATCATCCTCTAAGCCACAAAGCACCAGCTTGTGGAGCGCATGGAGTGCAAGCGAAGTATGAGAGTGAAGAAGTGTCACAAATACATTTAGTAGAGATCTAACAATTGCTGCCCAGCAGGAGGAGACTAGAAAACAAAGGATCACAACAAAACCAGAGCCATGTAGTTGAGGACATTACAAATTAAAGAAGAAGCAAAACAGAGTAGAGGAGATGGAGACAGAGGAGTTGCTAAAGACAATGCAGCTTGCAACAGAAGAGAATCACAGAATGGCCTGGGTTGAAAAGGACCGCAATGATCATCTACTTTCAACCCCCCTGCTATGTGCAGGGTCACCAACCACCAGACCAGGCTGCCCAGAGCCACATCCAGCCTGGCCTTGAATGCCTCCAGGGATGGGGCATCCACAGCCTCATTGGGCAGTAGTTCCAACAGAAAACTGGAGCAACAGACCTCCAGCTCTCTCTGCTCAGCCACCCACCAGCAGCTACCACCAAGGCAAGCATGAGCCCCCCAGGAATTCAGCAGTCTGCTGATAAACATCCGCTCATGAACAACTACATGAACAACAAAATGGAACACAGGATCTGCAATGCTCGTCAGACAGGAATGGATGCAATCGCACAGAATCAGGCGTACTTTAACATTTACCACCAGTATAATTATTACTTAGCATTAAGCCACATTTGCTTCAAAAAAGATGCAAGTGGACAGAAGTGTGACTAAAAGCACAGCTACTGCTATTGCTTCCACTCCATGTAAAGAATTTTCAATCTGTCACATGACCAGAGCCAAGACTGCTGCTTTTCTATACCCCTGATCCATACCTTTTCCATCAGAAGACTTCAAGTTGCCCTGCATATCAACAGAGATAGTAAGCTATTGAATTAACTAAACAACTGCGGTGTAAAGAACTGCAAAAATAGTTAAGAAGTTATGAAAAACACTTCACAACTCTTGTGCCTTGCCTGATGAATGGTACAATGAAGTCACACCTATCAGAAACTTGACAGCACTTTTCTACCTTTTAAAAAAACCACAAAGACCCCACAGCACACAAGCTAGCTGTCACAAGACTGGAGGTATTCTGCCTAGCATTATAGGTTTTATCACACAACATTAAATACATAAGTTGAATAAGAATCATTTTCTTCCATAAGAGATATTCTTAACAGGTTATTCAAATAAAACAAGTATTCACAAATAGTCTCCTTTCAGTAAGATATCCAGGTCAAAAGAACCATGCAAATGGACTATATTTAATCACCCTCTTACAAAAGAAAGGGCTCAACCTTTGCAAGCCAGAAACACCAGTACCTCAGTAAAACGATACACTCCCCTAAGAACACTCGTGTTCTCAGAACTCAAAGGATTTACAGCTTGTGTGGACAGTTATGTATTTCCACCATCCACAGTACACAGCTTTTGCTACAGCAGTTGGAACAGGCACCGAAGTGCTGCTACAGCTGCCAGCGTACACTGGTGTACCTTGGACTTTCTAAACATAGAATAGGGTACTAAACCCTAACACTGATCGTCAAGACTTTGGACGTTAGATTTCACTACGAATCAGAAACTGTTATCTGAATATAGCTATGCAAATAAAGATGAAAGCATCCTACTAGAAATTCTGAAGTAGTGACAGACAGCATTATTTAGCTTTGTAAAAGTTTGTTTATGCCTTTTAAGAGAATGAAAAATACCATACTGCAAAAATCAGAATGTTGTTAAGTACTGAAGTCATCAGCTCACATGCATGACTAAGCCTAAAGCAGAAAGAAAACAAAATCAAAAAACTTCACCCATGAGTATGGTAGCATTTCCTGTTTGACCTGCAGCCCACTTTGGAAGTTCAGCTCCTTTAAGAGCCATTTCACCACGCTCCAACACCCCAAGTCTGCTGAGCTGCAGCTGCTCCAACCCAGGTCCCACAGAGCATACCAGAGCAGGAGAGCACAAGCACTGCCAGGACCCGGCTGCCTGGACAAGCCTGGCATCTCTCAGCACCGTGCAGCTTGGCACTGTGTTACAGATCTCTGTGCCTTTCAGGGAGAGGGAGAGGTCTATTCTTCATTCCCATTGCTCACTTCACCAATTTACTTGGCATAATCATCATCAAGGACATGTCAAGGAGTCCCAGAAGGGAGTCCAAAGCGAAGAGAAGCAGAGTCATCTCAATGACAGAGGCACAAAAAACCTAGCCTCACCCTTACAACTCAAGCTCGGTTGAACAGCTGGAGTCTTGCCACACTGCTCCCAAAACATGAGAAGGAAGAGGAGACCAGGTGGATTCATTGTTGCCACACCAATACACAGCAAGCCCCAAGCCTCAATACTGGTTCCATAATTACGCACTTGCGACCCCACTGGTTATTGCAAGGTTCACCAAGACCAAAACTTCCATCAATATGAAACAGATTCTGGAACTTATGGTTGATACACTTTTTTATTTAGTTACTTAGGCCACATCCTGTGAAATTAGGTCATACAAGTATATTAAGCATGACTTTTGATGTACTAATGAACAGAACATGAAAAAAAGCTAGTAATTGCCACACCAAGCAGTCAACTGGTCCATCAGCTCAAATGTGTACCAAAATGTCACAACTGGAATTTACCTCTGGTCCAGTCTCACTGTTGGCATAATACACAAGGTAAACATGAAAGCACAGCTGTTTGGATGGGTGCGAGCAGTGACACTTTCTGATGAAGTCTTAGAAAGCCGTAACGTGAATAACCTTTTCAAATCACCACACTGCAAAAAGGTTCAAGCCTCTGTGACACCTGTTCAGAATTTCTCTTTGACACATACATACCTGTCCTAAGGAAATATAAGTTGCTCCAAAAGAAGCAGGCCACCCCTCTTACTGAAGACAGGGCACTGGGGGTCCAAAGGGAAGCCACCCATTTAGATCCACTCAGCTGAACAACTGCAACTTCTCCTAATTCTTCACCACTCAGTAGAACACGGGTAAAAAACCACCATGTGAGGTGATTACAGAACGAGTCCTGGTAAAGACTGATTTCCACCCCCTTTCTCCATTCAGCAGTTACTAATATAGGGAAGCAGGCTCAACCTATTAAAAGTAAAGAGTAGTTAATGATTCCTTTAAGAGATTAATACATAACAAGTCTATGTAAGGTCATAATTCTTAATTTATAATGTAATTTTGCAATCAACAAGTTATTTTGTCCAAAAGTTCCACCACAATGAGGTGGAGATATTAAAAAATAGCAATTTGAAGTCCAGCTTCCTCACATTTTAACACTGCCAAGCAGGAATCCTGGATCTAAGTGTTATTTAAGTTACCTTTTTTAAATTTAGATACTTCTAGTATGAGGCTACTTTCCTGAAGAATGTCTCACCAGTTCATACAGCTACATGTTGCTTCATTACAAAACACAGCCCTTTACACTCTATTTGCTGACTTCTGGCTAACCAACTAAATACATTATGCACAGTACTATCCATACGAGCCAGCAGCCTCCAGACTTTCATTCACGGCCCATACGTTGCTGTATGAGGCTGCCAGGTGTTGGCTGTATATACAGGAAGTCAGTGCAGTAAATGTTAGTTAAGGTCAAAGTATTTGAGATGACAAGAACAAAAGTCACTTCAAGCACGCAATTTGTTCACTGCTGTTGTCTCTGGGAAACAAATATTTAAGCAATAGTTACAGCGCTCTCTTGGGGGAGGGGGATTGGTCAGGCAAAGCAGGAGATTAATACAAGTAAACGATAAATGTTAAATTATTTGGTAAAGACCCTGACAGTGAATTTCTTGCCCCTCTCACATGATGTGCGAATCAGAATTCAGTTACTAACAGCCAGACCTTGAATCCCGGTTCTCTATGAAAATCATGGCTCAAATACATGGATACTAAACAAAAAAAAAAAACATTTACCAAAATGGCCAGAAATGTAAAACATACTTCTCTTTAAAAACCCATATTGATCCATTTACTGAAGTTGAGTGAAGACCTGGCTTACCATCACCAGAAAAGAAAGTCAGCACTTGCAATGAGCCTCTGTACTCCAGGAATTCTTTCCCTTTGTCTTTCAATTTCATTATAAGGATTTATACCTTCCCACGTATGAATACACTGGTGGAAGGGGGAGAGGAAAAAGCCATTTCCTTCTTTCAAAATATGAATACTCTTTGGACATTCCCTAAGTAAACTGAAACCGAAAGTAGTAAAGGGAAAAAAAAAAAAAAGAAAAAAAAACAACAAAAAACCAACAACAAAACCCAAAAGTTTTCCTGCACAGCAAAAACTATGATGATGAATATTTAGAAAAATATAACACTTAATTTGTTCCATTAAGTGTCGTATCATGTATCACACTAATTACTGTTTATACAAGATGTTATATGCTTAAACATGTTCACACTTAAACGTGTTTATGTTATGACTATTAAAACTTGACTCAAAGATTTGTCCTTTCCCATCACCCCCCATACATATAGTTAAATAGAACCTATAGATTCATGTGAAAGCTAACGAACACATCCACAAAGCACACATTTATAGTGAAACACACATGATTTTATACACTAGGGGTACATGTCACCTCATTTCTGTAGCAGGTTGTCTCTTACAAAAAAAAAAAAAAAAATCAATGAAAATGAAGCGAATCTATTTTATTTTCCCACATTAGTCAGAACAGGTGCAATCTGTAGGTGCTCTAACAGACTCTGATAGGCATTAAACATCCCTAGATATATTTAACGTATTGAGTTTTACCTTCCATCCACAAATCATCACTCACATGCCTTTAAGCAGGAGCAGTAATTAAAAGATGACTAGAATTGTTTGTTACGTGAAAAACAATTAAAAAAATCACACATCAGTTTTGAGGAGGACGTGGATTAAGATCTGGGATTTGAAACTTACTGCTTGAAAAAAAAAAATAAAGGCAGACACCTCTGACTGTTTGAGGTTTTACGTTGTTGTTTTGTTTTTTTAAATAGGTGCACACAATCATATCCCTAAAAACAAATAAAACAAAACAAGCGACAAATCAAATCATTTGTTTTGCCATCTAGCTTGACGTTTTTATTTCCAAACACTTAGGAGACACTGAATACTCCAGCAAGGAGAAATACCAAACAGCTCTGGTAAACAGAAAAAGAACTTGTTAATTCCTGTAAGAAAGATACCACATTAAATAGGAAACACAGAGTGGAATGAGACATTCACAAGAGACAAAAACATCTGTAAAACTGCACTACAATTATTTCAATTAAAAGTTAATTTTCATCCTGTAAACCTAAATAGTTGTATGCTTTTTATTCCAGTATTGTGTCTGAATTGACAATGGTGCTTTTATGGAGACAGTCATAAGCACTGTAGACCACATCTGTTTCTAAAGGCAAACGTAGGTGAGGAAAGTTACTGAAAGTTATTGGTAATGCACATTTCATATTTTCAATTCAGCCCAATCACTAAGCACCAAGTTTCACAGTACTCTCAGATAGAAAAAAGTCCCTCTAACTGTTTCCAAGATCAAAGTACACAGAGTACTCAGAGACACAATATGCAAATAGTGTAACACCACCCAAAGCAAGGAGTTTATGAGCCCACTTTCCACGAGCTTTCTTTCTTACCATGAAGTACGTGTCAGTACCCCAGCACTCTCTCCCACCCACGGGAGGTGCCTATCAGTACTGTCACACTCACCCTGCAGCTTCACCCCCAACAAGCAATCTCCAAGCAGATGCTACCTGTATGAATTCTTTGAGAACTTTAACTTTTAGACCTCTCCCTTTCAAATCACGGAAACGAAGTTGTATTAGATATGCTGACAACACAATCAGGCAGCTTTTACTTCCTTGGACAATCAGAGCTACACTCGGGTACAGTTTCACACTGGAGAACTTTCTGACAGACGTACAGTAAAACAAATTTGCCAAGTAGGCTCACACAGAACATCAGGTTAACGCAGCATCCTACTGAGATAGTGAAGTTTCCGTGCAGAGGGACCATCTCAGAAGTGATGTGTGAGACAAGCTTTGTCCCAGAAGCCCGATTCCAACACAGAAAGTATTTTCATTAACTAGAGAGCAGAGTAGGAGGTGTGGGGGGAAGCAGGAGTCTGTAGGTTCTCATCACTTAAGGGACACGGTCATTCACGAGTTACTGCTAGGGAACAAAGCATGGCCCACATCACCTCGGACACCCGATCTACAAACCGACCGCCAAGCTCCGCGATCCCGCAGAGTCTCTCTAAAAAGAAGGCAGCGCAGACACTCAACACTTGAGAGCCACGTCCGGCAGCCAGCAGCGACAGCTCCCACTCGGCGGCAAGACCCAACACCCCAGCCCGGATCGGGGAAACACGAGAGAGAGGAACGCACCACGCAGGCCCCGCACTCGCTCCACGCCCGGACCGCCCCGGCTGCCCGCGCTGAGCCGGGGGAACTGAGACAGGGGAGGGCCTTCGGGTTCACCCAAGGTCGCCCCGAGCCCCCCCTGCTCCCCGCAGGGCCGGGAGCCCCGAGGCCACGCACCCTCCCGCGGGGCTCTTCCCGACGGGGGAGCGGCCCGCGCCGCCTCCCGGCCGCCACCCCCCTCCCGGCCCCCGCTCAGCGCGGCGCAGCGCCTACCGACCTGCGCGCCGCGGCCTGCTGCTCCCGCTCGCTGCCGCCGCCGCCCGGGCTCATGCGGGGGCCGCGCCGCGCTCGGGGCCGGGCCGCAGGCGAGGAGGAGGTGGTGCCGCCGCCGCTGCCGGAGGAGCCGTCGGGGCGGAGAAGAGGGGCCCGCGGCCTGGCGGGAGGGGAAGGGAGAGGCGAGCGGCCTGGCGGGGCGGCGCGCAGAGGCGGGGGGGCGGGCCGGGCCCGCGGGGCGCCTCCTCTCGCGGCCTCGCTCGCACTCAGCCCCGCGCCACCATCTTGGGAGAACGCGATGTCAGCGCGGCGCAGGCTCGGAGGACTGGCGGCGGGCTGGGGGAGGCGGGAAGGCGGACTCGCCGCGTCCCGGCATGCAGCGCGGGCGGAAGGATGAGGCGGCCGCGCCACGCCACGCACCGTGCCGCACCATAGAGTTCGCGTGTGGCTTCCCTTCTAACTCTTTCACTCGAGGCTCCCGGCGGAAGGGGGCCAGAGCGACGCTTGCGTGCGTGAGGCGGAGGCCGCCATGTTGGAAGAGGGCAAAACTTAGAAGGCGGGAGCGAGGCGGGGTTTCCCGCTCGTCGAGGGCGCGGAACCGAGTGTGCGCATGCGCGAGCGCCGCTCGGCGCGTGCTGCCTGTGGGGGGAGGTGCGGGCGTGTGGGGTCAGCTCCTGCACGCGCCTTCGTGTGCACGGGCGTGCGGGCACCTCTCGCTGCGGCACGCATATAAGCAGCACGTGGGTATTCGGAGCCACGAGAACGGTGTATACAGGCGCAAATAAAGGCTTCTAAGCCCACGTTGAATTCTTTGTGTGTTTTCAAGGCCTGTAAGCGGACAGGCGTACGCTGTGCTGTGTGCACTGGCACCTCCGCAGGGCTGCCCTCAATGAGTTCTGTACTCGTGTCTGGGATTACTCTCATCCTTTGCATCCTTCAGCAGTTCCAACAATCTCTTAGTGTAAAACTGCGAGTAGGAGGCAGATGACAGTAGATAGAGGAAACGTGCAGGATGGATCATGGTCTGGTAGCGATAGGACAGAGAGAGAATGGCTTTACACTAAAAAGGGGAGATTTAGGTTAGATGTTAGAGGGAAATTTTTCACTCGGGGGCAGTGAGGTGCTGGCACAGCTGCTCAGAGAAGCTGTGGTGCCCCATTCCTGGAGTGACTCGACTTGCTGTAGATTAACTATGACCATCAATGTCCCCAGGCTGCTTCTCTTTGGAAGAGGATAACTGTACTTTACTGCTTTATGAAGTATGTTACATTTTCCAAAGCACTCAGGAATTGTGGTATAGATGTGCTTTTGTACCTTGAATGTTTTCAGCCGAGGTATAACCAGCTGCCGTGAAGCTACTGGATCTGCCCAGCTAAGCAAACTCTACATTTGGAGAAATGTAAGTGGAATTCTCAGTGGAGAAGCTGCTTCTGCGTGCCTCCTTGCTAATCCACACTGCAGTGCTTGGGCATTGCTAAGTGCTTCTGCTGAGGGAAATGAGTGGTTCAGTGATGTCTTGCAGTGATCCCCTACACAGAATGGGCTGTGGTGAGATGCTTCAATTACCTGATACAAGCAATGCTGGATAAAAATGTGAAACCCAACAATTATAGCTAATAGGCTGATTGCTACATAGAAGCCCTGCAGAAAACCTAATCTCAGCGTCCAGACGTTTGTAAACAGGTGCCTTTTCTTCACTGCTGGAGGAGAGCAGATGCGACTTGCCTCCTAAGTTGTGTGGCAGTGATTTCCAGCATGAGGAAAAGGAAAAAATTTAATTAAGAATTGAATTCCGATTCACCGTTCACGTGTGGCGCTGGAGAGAAATCATCAGGTCTGCTGCGTATTAATTTCAGATGTTGATGTCTCACTTCAGAGAGAATAATTTTCTTTGGAGATATCTTAGTGAGCATATAAAGAACACTGCATATATGCCATTCTTATTTCATGTGAAAACTCCAATACAGAGAACCCAATAACACTCCTTTTTTTGTGTGTGTTGATTTCAGAGAATTATCTGTGGGAAAATGAGATCTCGAAGCTCTGTAAGTGTAGCCCCTTAGATGAGAGGCATCTTTTTGTGAACAGTCTACCTTAGTTAATCCTCTTTTGACAGAAAGAGTACACTGAAGTGTTAGGAGCCTTTGGGAGCCCAGCCAAATGCTTCAGCCTGCTGATAGCTGGAGACTTTATGTCTCCCTTTGCAGTTAAAAGATAAGGGACAGGAAAAAATAATCAGTAATATAATGAAATACTGAGTTAGAGCCCAGCATTGGTAAGGGAGAGAAAAATCCCTGTGGTGATTGAGTGATTGTGATGGAAATATGAGTTGTTACTGGGATAAGAAAGAGTGGTCTGTTACCCCAGCTGTTCCCTCTCTTTTTCCCTTGAGGAAATTTGGAGATTGGGATAGCACTCAGCTCAGATCTCTTCATTTGTGGTGCAGGCAGAGAGACTTAAGCTTTTAAGGCTATCTATAGGGGAGTGCAAGTTGGTTGGATGGATGCAGTGTTACCTTTGCTGGAGGAAGAGAGAAAGCCAAGAGAACATGGGGGAGGCAGCATAGCCAGGCCCTGGCTGGTGAGCAATATGCTCTAGCCCTCTTGGGGGGAAGAGAAGGCCCCAGAGTGCATTGTTCCTGATCTCTCCTTCTTGCCTTTGTGTTTTATGGTCAGGAGTTACCAGGTTTAGAGACGCTAGTACTGTGCACCCAAAATCTTAGAATCCATGCAGAATCTTGGCTGCTCCACCTTTCACTCATGTAGTAAATATGACCCTTCTTGTGCTGAGACCTGTGGTAAGGTTTTGGGTGGAGTGAGTGACAAATGAAGCAAGGGGAAATAAGGAAACAGGCACTTCACTTTCCAGAGTCCTCTGAAGATCTGTTTTCACCACATCACACATATTTTTATGTAATATGTGTTGTTTTTTTTTTTGTCCATGTTAGTTTTTAATGTCTGAAACCAGTCTTAGCTTTTATTATTGGCTTGATATGTAGGAATAGCAAGGAGGATATTTAAACTCCACCAGGATACTGCTCTTTTCATTCGTGAGACATAGAAACATTAACCTGAAAAACACAGAAGCTAAATGCAAGCAATCCGGAGAAAAGTTTGTTTGATTCCTTCCCTCAGCTCGACACTCCCTTTTGTCAGGCATGCTTCCAGTTACCCTAAATTCTCACTGAGAGGCGGAGTAGGTGGTGAATGCTTGGTGAACAAACTATCAAGTGTGGTTTTCGGTGCTTCATTCTAGAATGCAAGCTACTGACCTCTGCTTCTTCATTTCAACCTGAAGGATGTTTGTCTTTCAGAAATGTAGGCATTTTTGAAAGGCAGCGCATGCTTCTGAGTCCTGAAACACATCTGCCTCTTCCTCACACAGACTGGTTTCTAGGTTAAGGTGTGGAAGTTCCTGCTACCTCAACCTCTGTTCCATGTCTATCTGTAAGGCTGCTCTCAACTGCTGCTGGTGGTGTTTTGGTTCCTTTCTGTGAGCTGAGGGAGGTTTCCTCTGCATTTCGCTGCTTTCCCCAGCACAGCAGTCCCTGGAAGGAAATGAGTGGAAGGAAAAGCAGCACATGCTCACCTCTTTGCCCTTGAGTCTTTGAGTTGGCTGTCTTTCTGCTAGCCTGGGGTACACCTTGCTCATTTTCCTTGCAGGAGCAGATTATGGATGCAGTTGTTCTTCTCATGAGGTGCAGAGCTTGAACTTCACTGCAGGTCTCCAAAATATTCTCTTTGGTCACCTCTGCAGATGAGCTGGAAATGCTCCTTTGTGCCATTCTACCTTCTTTTCTTTCCTTTTTTTAAAAAAAAATTATTTTTTTTAAATTCCCTATGCTGTGAAGACAGCACTGCAGGTATTCCCGACCCATTTTTTCCTGCCTTTTTACTTACTGCTGTGCTCACATGCTTCTCTACATTCACAGCCCAGCCTTGGCTCCTGAGAGGGTGTCTGGTTTCAGGAAGAAGTCATCAGTCGTTGCTGTAGTTGTGAAAGATGCTCAGATGCAATACTTCTGTATTTACTCAGAGATTTCATGGGAACATCTTGGTGTCTCCTGCAGCACACAGCTGAAACTGTCTTGCATCACACAGCTATGCAGGTTTGGGTTAACTCTTGTTTCAGTTGTAAGGGAGAAGCCCTTGACACAGCTGTTTTTCTGACCACATGCCTACATTATTTTTCCTAGATATATATAGAAGCCTGACATGCTGAGCAGAGTAAAATGACTTTGTGCAATTAATGTGACATGCTTAATAATGCTTGGAAGGGTGCAGGCATCTGCATTTATCAACCTGCCACAGTTTAAAAAAAAAAAAAATTCTGCCAAGCAATCCCAGCACAAACACATGTTTTTCTAAAACAAGGGCCCACGAAGTGCTCAATAGGTGATATTGCTTTTGAGATAAGGCACTGTATTTTTCCAAGAGAAACACCAGGAACTCCCTTTACCCTTGGGTTACTACTGGGTGACAAATTCCGTTTATGATCTTTTTTTCCTTTGGCATTTTAATGTCATAATTACTTTCCTATTTAAGCAGCTTGATCCTTGAATACAAAATATGGTTTGGTTAATAGCACTGCAGTGGCACTTAGGTGAAATCAGGTCCAACTAGCTATCCATATTTTTTTCCCAGTCAATAATAAATGATTTTTAAAAGGTCATTATGACATAATTGAAAAGTTGAAGACTTGGGTAATTAGCACAGAGTACGCAGCTTTCCACACCTGGTGGTTTTGGTACAGCTGCATTAATAGTACTGTTGTCTGGGGAGGCTTTAATGTGGAAAGGAGGGTGCTCCCAAAAGGTGTCTGCTTGAAAACAAAACCTTGTTAGCATGAGAAGAAAAAGTGTTGCCTGTAGCTCCAGTTTGCCCTGTCTGGAGCATCAGAAGACACGGATGTGAAGCCTGGCTCCCCTCCTTAGAAGAAA